CTACACAGTTTTACAATTGAAGAATGTAAGAATTTCTTTCGGATGACAACAAAGATACATGAGAATTAAAATGTTGAAAAAATAACTAAATAAAGAAGGGCTCCAGAGCCACAGGTTGCCAACCCCTGGACTAAGTGGGTAAAGGCAAACTACAGAACACCTAGAATAGTCTGGTAAGTTCAGAAAATGGCATCACTTTATTGTAATGCAGCCTTTAAAACAAGGAAAAGACAACACTTATGGTGTTATGATATCCAAAATCTAAGATTATCTAGCTGATACCAGTATATATATATATATATATATATATATATATATCTCGATATTGTCAATCCACTACCTAGCCCCACTTGAAATGTCTATTCTGTCCGGCCACCAGACCAAAAAGAAAATATATAAATTAACTGTTGTAAAGAGACTAGGAAGCCAGACAATACATTAAAAAAGATGCGATCATTAACGCACAATAAACATTTCCGCTAACCGAGCTTTACCTATAAGTGCAATATTTTATTTTTCTGTACACTGCTAATTAAAGCCAACAAACACTTCCACTTTATAATCAGCCTAGCTTCTCATGCAATCTTCAAAAGACGATAAATCTTAGCTATTTAGACACAGTGGACATGTTGTCCAACCCTGCTCTACCAGGGTATATACACTGCCTGGCCAAAAAAAAAGTCGCCACCTGGATTTAACTAAGCAAATAGGTACGAGCCTCCTATTGGATAATTACTGCATGGGCGATTATCTTTCAGCTGGCAACAAGTTATTTAACCCCAACTGGTGCAATGAGTTGCTTCTCATTTCCTAAACAACCATGTCGAAAGACACATCCCGTGGTCGTGGAAAAGATGTTAGTCTGTTTGAGAAGGGTCTAATCATTGGCATGCATCAAGCAGAGAAAACATCTAAGGAGATTGCAGAAACTACTAAAATTGGGTTAAGAACTGTCCAACGCATTATTAAAACTGGAAGGATAGTGGGGACCCATCGTCTTCGAGGAAGAAATGTGGCTGGAAAAAAATCCTCAATGATCGTGATCGGCGATCACTTAAACGTTTGGTGAGATCAAATCGAAGAAAAACAACAGTAGAACTCAGGGCTACGTTTAATAGTGAAAGTAAGAGCATTTCCACACGCACAATGCGAAGGGAACTCAAGGGATTGGGACTGAACAGCTGTGTAGCCTTAAGAAAACCACTAATCAGTGAGGCTAACCGGAAAAAAAGGCTTCAATTTGCTAGGGAGCATAAAGATTGGACTCTGGAGCAATGGAAGAAGGTCATGTGGTCTGATGAGTCCAGATTTACCCTGTTCCAGAGTGATGGGCGCATCAGGGTAAGAAGAGAGGCAGATGAAGTGATGCACCCATCATGCCTAGTGCCTACTATACAAGCCTGTGGGGGCAGTGTTATGATCTGGGGTTGCTGCAGTTGGTCAGGTCTAGGTTCAGCAACAGTATGTGCTCAAAGAATTAGGTCAGCTGACTACCTGAATATACTGAATGACCAGGTTATTCCATCAATGGATTTTTTCTTCCCTGACGGCACGGGCATATTCCAAGATGACAATGCCAGGATTCATCGGGCTCAAATTGTAAAAGACTGGTTCAGGGAGCATGAGACATCATTTTCACACATGGATTGGCCACCACAGAGTCCAGACCTTAACCCCATTGAGAATCTTTGGGATGTGCTGGAGAAGGCTTTGCGCAGCGGTCAGACTCTACCATCATCAATGCAAGATCTTGGTGAAAAATGAATGCAACACTGGATGGAAATAAATCTTGTGACATTGCAGAAGCTTATCGAAACAATGCCACAGCGAATGCGTGCTGTAATCAAAGCTAAAGGCGGTCCAACGAAATATTAGAGTGTATGACCTTTTTTTTTGGTGGTGACTTTTTTTTTGGCCAGGCAGTGTATATTCCAACCTTTGGCATGCAAATTGGGTTTTTTTTATCCCTTAGGGCATGAGATGCAGAGAAAAAACATAAATGACAGATACATTTCATCCAAAGAAAATAAGGGCAAAAACTTTACGGCTTTAGAAGAACTAAAATCTATGAAGTCATACTATGAAAAAAATCTAGGAATACCACATGAATCTTCTGTTGTACTTGTTCTCTTCTTCTGACATGTCTGTCTGTCTGTATGAGGGTGTGTCAGCAGCGTAGAGTCAGTCCCGTCAAAGAAGCCAGTCAATGACGCAACAGGACATGATGTGACTTGTTTGATCGAAGCCTGGTCTAATAGGGAGTATCATGTGCGTAGGGTGTGTTGATACCAATTTAGGATGGGAAATTACCATGAGCCACGACCAAAGCCCAGAGAATCTTGGCTGTGAAGGCTTTAACTTCAAAAAGTCTATTCATCAGCCACTTTGGCAGGAAACAAAGAAAGACAAATTATTTTGAAGGTCATATTCTGCTGCTCTAAAAATCTGTATCAGATGTTCAAACTGGAACACAGCCATGTGGCCGGGGTTCAGAAAAGTCCACTTCTGATACGAACGCACAGAGCTGGAATCATTCTTAAAAATGTTCTGTCTTTCTGATGTAAACTGGAGACAATTCCTGTTGGAAAAAGACTGAAAAACTTTCCATCAGCAAAGTTTGAGGAAACAAAGGGGACAGAACCTGCATCCAAATGAATAACAGACACTTAGATTCCTAAACAGTCACTATAAAGGAAACTTCTTAGCTCCGGATATGCTGAATGTGACAGTAATGGAATGACCTCAGTGGAGGTTTCACCACATCTCTAAAGGAGCCTAAAAGTTGTTTACCATCCTAAGTGAGGTAATAACAACATTCATAACCTGACAGATGTGTAGAGCCTCTAATAATCACACCATACATCATAAAACCTCACGCTAATATCATTGACATTGTTTTCTGGGGCCCAAACTATGCAGAAATTCAAAACGTCTGCCAATTCGGCTGTGCGGCGCCTGCGTCATTCAGTTTAGTCTGGTTGTAAATATAACATTTACTCTCACTAAGTGCTGAAGCAGCAATCCAAATTCCATCTGTCACTATCAAAGACAAGTGTAAGAGAACAAAACATGGCAGTGAGCCAGTGTTTATCTTCAGAAGAATGTTATCTTCCGGGAAGGTAAGTAACTAATGGACATGAACTCCAGCCCCTGATGTGAATAATCGACATATATCAGCAACTTTGGGAATCAATGTAACCCTTTGCTTCAGCCAGCAGCAGCCTCCTCCTTGGTCTCTGCATATGCATTAGGAGTGCAGTGTGAAATGGTGCTCACAGGGCTGCCATACTATCATTTTTAGATAGCTGTTGGCCCAACAAGCTCACCGTTGTGAGATTAAGTGTGAGGCTGGAAATTGTTGGGTGAGAAAATCGTCAGCCTTGTAATGGGTGCAATGTCAGACAAATGTAGGTGTTGCGTGGGTGCAGTTGTAATCACCATTGAGAGTGGGTTTGGCGTAGTAGAGTTTGCCTTAACACCACAGTCTGTGTGCTGGCTACATGAGCAAAGACCTTTCTCTGTGAAGTGACTGGTAAAAAGCAGCAAGACAGAACTGGTGACTTGGTGTTGTCCTGCAGAGGGGACACACGCTCTCTACATTGGTCATGTGAGCTGAGGCCGGCATCCAGGTGAATTGTAATGCACTTACACCTACAGCTACAAATGTGTCTCCAGCAATCAAAGAAAAGACTATTCGTCCAAAATCCCCAAATCTCTACTGGTGCCCTTCAATGTCCTTCTGCTTTACTTGCTGTTGTGTAAATTATCAGGAACTTCAGCATTTGCCATTGTCCAATATGATCTCTATCTAATCAACCAACATTAGCATACACAATGATCCAAGCATGCCAATGTGCAAGTTTATATAGAGAAGATTTGTAGTGCATTGTGAATGCAACTGAATCCCTGAGCATGGAGGAAGACCATCCAGAGTGACGTACCAACTGGTCTTCTTGTTCTTCTATTTAGCAGCAGTCAGTTTGTCCACAGAAAAACAAAAGGTGCGCAAGGAGGTGAAACCCAATCACAAGTGGTCACTTGAGATGCAGGAGTGAAATACACCTGGATAAAAGGAGTCTCAACCACCTCTAGTGGTGTCATGAGCATTTTCTGCACTTTAATATGTATTGGGTGTGTACTTTACATACATGCAACTAAGCAGAACTGGACAGTTGTCAGATACCAAAACAGTGGTGCCCCCAGACATTTTTCAAAGGGGTTGCCAGATAAGACCACTGAAGATCTTGCGGAGGATGCACACTAATACTGGTACAGTTAACATTTTGAGTTCCACAAAAATCCTGTTGTAATGTGTTATGTATTTGTATATGTGATAGATGATTAATTGTTCTTCAGATAGGCTCCATGCCCCTTTCCTTCAAAGGACAAATATACAACTTTAGACTTTAGAGTACATTGATCATTAGAAGCAGAACATTTCTGGGAACAAACCCTCTCAAGTTCAAGGGACTTGTGGGTACCCAAACAACCAATTTCCATTCAGGTATCTTGAAGTGAAGGTTCAAGAGATCCCTTTGAAAATGGCCATACTAGTTGTTCCCTTGCCAAAATTTTGCCTAACTCTGGAGCATTATTTAACCCCCTTCCCGACAAGCTACGCCAACATGGCTGGCACCAACGGATGTCTTAAGTTGTCTGGTTTCACAAAATACCACTGTCTTCACACTAATTTAAAAATTAGTATGGCACAGCCTCTTAAAGGCATAAAAATTGCCCTTCAAGCAATTGTTAAAGGGGGCATGGCCCTCCTGGGCACCCCTTGGGGCGCCACTGGCCAAACGCCATCATTTGTCACACAGCAGGGGTTAACATAGGGAACTGACAAAAACAGAGGGAACTACCATGTATTTGCAATGCCATCACGAGAAGCTGACAGGCGGAAGGTGTAAGTGGTAGTTTTGCAAGAGTAAAAATGTGAAACATGATATGATTTAGTGAAGGACCTCACACATATATATACACACACACTGTAGTCTTACCTCCTCGTCCACCGTTCCTGGACGAGCCTCGGCTCTGTGTGTCCTCCCAGCCTTCCCAGTATCTCCCCACACATCCTCCCATGGTTAGAGGGCTGCGGATTGTTTCCACGCGTCGTACTAGCTGAGCAGGGGGCCCATCACGGGCGAAGACGATGAACTAGGTCCGAAGAGGAGGACGGGTCGCAGCGCCAATGTTGCAAACCTATAGGTCATCCGTATCAGCAGAGACAGGGACGCTTGGATGTTTGACTGCAGTGATCTTTACTTTAAAGATCGTGGCTTTATATGCGTTTTCTCTCTTTATGTGTCAGTGCTGTCTGTGTGTGACACGACCCCACAAGATTCAAAGCTCGTGGCCCGCACTGACGTTACAAGAGTTTGCCAAACCTACAAGCCACCGCAACATCTGCCAAATCGTTTTTAAATGTTATAACCACAAACAGGACAGTTGTCTAACTTGGCTGTTAAGTTGGGCTAGTTGTAAATGTTGAAGTCCAGCAGTCTGAGCAGCGCGCACCTTCCTCGCTAACAAGCTAACAGGGCCAACCAGCTAGCTACTACATCAGTAAACACAAACTTCCGCGCACCCGTGAATGTTTCCCTGCACGTTGACTTTCCTCCAGATGCAGTGGATAGTTACCGTCTCCCGCTGAGCTCGGTGTACTGCTTCAATTCTGTGCCGCTGTCTTCAGATTTGTTTTCCTAAAACCCCCAAAACGATACTTCCCTCTCTGCTGGTAAAAGGTGACTGACTGGCGGCGGAGCTTGCGCCACCGAACTTTTTTACGCCTGCGCGTAAGCACGCAGGCAGGTGTTGGATTCTCTGACGTCAGGATGAAAAGCAATTATGAATGGAGGACTCTGAAAATAAAGTCGACACCGCCGGAAGTATCACATAACTATAACGCGCAGCCATTATGCTTCTTGTTTTTAGTTTATTATCCTTATTTAGACTGGTAGTAAGTTATTCAAGTCAGTACAAATGCACGTTGCATCAGTGAAAGGGGACATCTATCACAGAGAGGTCCACACTAGGTTGTACGTAGTATTTTGGAATTCGGACAGCACATGAAGGCAACACCAAAAACTAAATGTTTGGTTTTATATTTACACATTTAGAAAACGTTTACATTTTTAATAACTTGAACTTAACACAAGTGGCCTCACACGTACATTGTATTGTTCATTAACAGTCCCATTATATAAAAGTTAACGTAAAATTATTTACTTTTGCGCTTCGCCCTAACTTTTGGCGCATGCGCAGTCTCAGTTGGGTTACATGGGCACGATGGCTGCGGACAGTACCCTGCTGCTGTCTCTGGTGGAGGAATTTGTCTCGGGACTGCAGGACAGCAAGGCCAAAGATACAGCAACAGGTAAATAAACGTTCATGATATTTCCCTCGACACATTTCCAGTACAGCTCTTTGCGGAGAACACGCCGTTGAAGCTGCTTAGCTGCAGCTACAGGGATGCGCAGCATGGCGTGATGGTTAGGTTAACTAGCTAACTTAGCGCCACAACATCCTGTGTGGTGTTCCAGCTTCATGAGACTAAAACACACAGGTTGTGACACTGGTCTGCTTATTTTATCACGACACCAGCACACTCTGAATGTACCTTTACCGTTTTAATGTAGTGTCATTCGACCGGTAATGTGAATTTTGAAGCTAGTCCGCTGTGGTGTCACCGCATGCCGCTTGCTAGCTGCTGTGTTTTTGTCCCAATAAGAGCATCCTGTCAATGAACTCTGTACAGTTGAACTCCGCCGGTGCTGCTAGTTAATCCATAGATAACTACGAGAGATAACTTAGCTGAGCTCGTTTGTTGTTGTGTTTGTTTTCTTTGTGTTTGTAGTTGGTTATCTTATCAGTGCTGTGCAGTGTTTCACTGAACTTGTCTTTCTGTTCAGGTGTCAAAGATGGACAGTTCACAACACTGCAACTGGTGGAAGCACTGGGGTAAGCTGTCAACTTAAATTCTAATATTACGGCAAAAATATAAACGAAGCAAAATCATTACCATAGTATTATTTTATTTTTTTCCTTTGTCTGACTTATTTTGGTTGTAGTATGTGTTACACAAGTGAGGTGGTGGAAGTTAAAAGATTTCCCTCAAAACTTTATTTAATCTTGCCCTTATCACCCAGCCAAGGAGATATGTTGTCTTTCCCATTAATACTGGCGAATTTATGATACATATAAAACACATTCACACTATATTGCTGACTTCTGCTCATTAAAGGAATAGTGTGTAAAACTTAGGGGGATTTAGTTGTCTCTAGCAGAGAGGATTGCAGATTGCAAACAGCTGAAACTTCCCCGGTTAGAATTCATTCAGTGTTTATTATTATAATTGTTCAGGTTTTTACCAGGAGCCAAATTATCCACAGAGGTCTTCTTCTCTCCAAAACAAATGGACCAGAGGTCTCAAATATAAAAGTGTGTAGGATCTAGCTACACAGCATAGTATCGCAATATTTTTGTGTGGCAATATCGTATCATTGATATAGCAAAAAAAATTACTAAAGTGAGATGAACAGAAAACTTTATCTAACTGGATAAAACAGTTGTTGAAAAAGTTTTCCTTTGGGGGACTTATTTGTAGTTGAAAATAGGTAATACATTGCAATATAGTGTAATATATTTCTTTGCAATAATAAGCATATTGCAACACATTTAAAATCGTTATAATATTGTATCATCATGACTAAAGTATGGTGATAATATTGTGTCGTGGAGCCTCTGATGATTCCCACCCCTAGTGGGATCCATATAAAAAATGTAAGTATGGACAAAAGCCAAATATGGCGTGCGCCAAAATGTATTTGACAATTTCTACAGTCAGGCTTCCACCTCACTGTCTCTGTCACCAATATCCCATCTCAAAAATGTTTGTAAGCATGGGTCAAAGTTCCTCCCATTAAGTCTGTTTCTATAGATCACAACTTTTTCATGGGAAGTGGTGTACACCTCTTTCAGGCCTTGTTTTGTGCGTAGGCAATGTTCATAAATGAGACCCTAGGTGAAAACACTGAATAAAGCAGTTTCATGTAAAAAATAAAAATAAAAAAAAATCAATTAAAAAAAATCATTTTTTCCAATGGCCTCATCTAGCTACAGTGGCTGATGCGAAAATGTGAATGGCCCTATCTAGAGCCAGTGTTTTGTTTGTCCAGTCTGGGCTACTGTATAAATGTGACATGGCTGGCTCCATGAACGAGGACCTGCTCTTTATGTAGTTATAAACAGCTCATTCTGAGGTAACAAAGACATGATTCTTATTTTCAGGTGATTCTGCACTAAAGAAAACATACTCATTATATTATATTCCATTTCTGCCGACATATCCCCCAAATCCTACACACTGGACCTTTAAAATCAACAATGAAACTCAGAGTTGCTCTTATGTTAATATTTAATAATAATGGTAATTAACAGTTTCATTTCCTTCCTTGTTACAGACCGAGTCTGACGAGCTCTCAGCCTCACACACGAGCTCGAGGAGTCCAGCTTCTCTCTGAAGTTTTACACGAGTGCCATGGAGGTCTTACAGAGAGAGAAGGTACACAGCTTCTCTTATGTTTTGTTGAAAATCTATCCCACTCTTTTCTTGTTTGTTTTCTAGATGCTGTGAAAATACTGAGAAGTTATGTGGGTGCAAACCTCTCAGTGCCTTGTTGGCTGATATATAAATAAAAAATAAACAAATATGTCAAATGACTATAGCATGATCCAGTAGTTTTGCAGGGCTACATGCAATATATTAATGTAAAGAGTGATATTTTATCAGCATGTGTCCTTATCTCTGTTCTCCCCAGTGGAAGTGCTCATTGCCTTCTATGAAAACCGTCTAAAGGACCATTATGTCATCATACCGCCTGTTTTACAGGGGCTCAGAGCGCTGGTGAGTGTCTGACTCTGATGGATTTTCAGTGACAACATCTGAAACATCCTGCCAAAGTTTAACTGAATGTCATGTTTTCAAGTTAGTTGCTTCTTGGTAGATTTTAGAATCATTCAGAGTCCCAGATGTGATCGCTGCAAACAACATGGTCTTTGTGTCTGTTGATGTTTATTCCAGACAAAATGTAGAGTGTTGCCTCCCGGCTCGGCTGTGTCCATGCTGAGGTCTTTGTTCCAGGATGTTCACGTTCAGGTGAGACTTGACACTGTGAAAAAGTTGTCGCAAGCTGCATTTTATTTTATCATGCAGCCAGGGAAAACTGTCATAGTAAGAGGACCCTGAGCGTTTTGTGTCGGGGGAATATATACAACAGTGGATTTGAGTTTAAAACATAACTACATTGCTGCAGTAAATAGTATTGTTTAATTTATTTATGAGGAACTAAGGCAACTGATCTACAGGAAAAAACTGAGATGAGTTCGTGTTCAAGTCTGATATTTATCTTCTGCCTGTTGAAACGCACAACAGCATCATTCACTGACCAAATGCATCAGACTCTCATATCTAGATATATGCAAACACACACCCATGAATATTTGACCACACTGCTTAGAGTTTGTATAATATTGTTCTCGTTTCCACCATGTCTGCGAAGCACTTCCTCTTTTATTAAGCATGCTTTATTGGTTAACTTGACTCATCTTAACTGCTCTTACATCTGAACATCATGGGTAAAAAGCTCACAGGATCTATTTATTTGTCTTTATTGTTTCCAGTCTTTGATGCTGACAGAGCGAGCTTGCGTCTACAACATGCTCATCAACCTCATGGAGACCAGAGAAGCCGGTAAGAGATGGCAGCTTTGAGTCTGATTCACAGATTAGTAGAGAAACGCACTAACAGCTTCCCACAATGACCGAGGGCTCTGCTGGAAGAAAACAAGCCTCTCTGGTGAATACGTGGGTGATTCAAAGCAGTGAGGAGTGTGTTTTGAAAGTCAGAATCTCAACAGTTTGCTGACTAATCACTGTGGTCATTGCTCAACTGAACTTTTACCAGGCCTGTAATAAAGGACAGAGTTGTCACACCTTCTTCTGCTTTGGTTGGCAGTTGAATAATTTGCATGCTGTGCAAGTTTTGCATAGATGTACTGTGTTGGAAACAAATGGAAGGCTGTCAACAAAGTGTTTGTGTGTGGCTTACAGGGAAAGCTCACCCCAAAATCAACAATACATATTCTTGCTCTTACTTGTAGGGCTGTTTGTCCATCTCGATTCATTTGATGTGACTTGCTGAGTGTTGGAGATAGTGATGGCCAGTGATGGGGCTTAAAGAGCCAGAAAGTTACATTTGAAATACTACATCCGCCAACCGTATCACCGCGCAGAAGGAAGTGTGCATCTACTCATGGACTAGAGGCTCTTGCTGGTGATAGCACAAGATGTAAACATTAATGGCGTCCTCCTCAGCTGAGCTGTAACAAAACCTAGCTCAGTGGTGCTAGGTGAGCTAGCAGTAGATGCATGCATACCACAAGCTGAGTGCCATCTAGTTCCATTATACTGGAGAGAAGGTAGACATCTTTGTGGCCAATATCTCCAACACTCTGCAACTCACACCAAAACAATCTAGATTGATAAATAGCACCGTAGGTAAGAGGAATAATATGTATTTTTGAATTTGGGGTGAACTGTTCCTTTAAGGCTCTTGGTAGCTGATATTTGCTGGTTGCTTGTCAGAGATAGATTCACGTTTTTTTTCTCAGTTTCATCTAATAAAATCATTTGTTGTGAATAAGCTTAAATTAGACAATCTTCCACATACTTGTGGCCTACATCAACTTTCTCAGATGCTATGGAAGAGGTATTTGGTGTCATTTCACCACCTTGGCGTGCCTTGTAAGAATATGTCTCTGCTCTCTGAACATTATGTGATGACCTGCTCTCTTACAGAACTTAATAAAAACCACGTACTCCTGTTTGACTTTTCTTCAGAGCTGAAGGGTTTAGGGGCAGACTTCGTGTTTGGTTTTGTCCAATCAATGGATGGAGAGAGGGATCCTCGCAACCTCCTGTTAGCCTTCCAGATCGCTAAGAACATCATTCTCCGAGGTTATGATCTAGGTGAGAACACATACAGGTGCATACACGCATGTACAGCACCTGTTTTCTCTGTCCGTCTCTGAGCCTTTTTGAACTTTGTTATTATCCACTGCACAGTTCAAGCAAGGCTCTGTTTTGCCTTCCATTAATTTCCTGTCTGTCGTCTCAGGTAAATTCACAGAGGAGCTGTTTGAAGTGACATCCTGCTATTTCCCCATTGACTTCAACCCCGTAAGTCCCTGTTTACTCAGCTGCTTTTGCCTGAGAGCTGACGAAAGCGGAGAGGGCAGCAGACAGAAATGTCATTGCCGACTTCCTGTGACCTCAGGCTAACTCTGTCGAGAACAACAATACAGCGTCTGCTGTCTCAACTGCTCACGCACATTTCCCATCTTCACATCACAGAGGGTCACAGCTCTGTGACTGTTTGTTGACTCTGGAGCAAACCAGCACAATGTCACAGGGCGGCTGATAAAATGTGAGGTTTTATGTGACACAAGGATCACAGCATTGTCTCACCTGATAATAATTAACCAAGATATTTAAATACATTGTTGTTCTTTCACATCATGCTTAGGTATTTTGGCTTTTGGGCCTGGTAGTATGGCCTAAAATTTGGCAGATGGTCAAATCCAACCAAAACCAAAAAGAAAAAGAAAAGCTGTTATCATCAACCTCAATGCTCAAATTCTTCTTAACATGGAAAAGCCTCTGAATCTCAAACACTCTCCACTGAAAACCCAGAAACAGTTCACACAGCCAGTTTTACATGAATATGAAAATCATTTTTAAAACTTGCATCAATGCTTGACTTTCACATCTGCTGAGCCTCTCATTAACAATCTGTTCATTACATCTGTGAACATGTGTAGGTGCATTTCTGATTTCTGTGTGTTATCTCTTCTTCACCCACCTACCCACCCCAGCCTGTCAATGACCCACACGGCATCACCCGAGAGGAGCTCATCCAGACCCTGAGGGACGTTCTCACGGGTACGCCACAATTTGCTGAGGTAGGACAATTAATTTACATTTTAATCTTATGACAAGTGAAGTGAAAAACACTGATCATCTTGTTACGATGCAGTCTCCTGCTGGGGAAACCTTGGGTCTGGCATTCATGTAGATGCCACTAAACACACACCACCCACCCAAACACTGTAGACCAAGTATCCCCCCCTACTGGCAATGGCTTTTCCAGATGACCCCCTTAGCAGCACAATGCACCACGCCACACAGCAAAAACTACTCAGACATGTCTTGTGGAACGTGAGGAGGAGCTCAAGGCGTTGACCTGGATCAGATTGGGATTTTGCAAATTTTGAGGCCAGGACAACACCCTGAGCTCTTTGTCACATTCTTTGGGTGATTCCTAAGCATTTTTTTGAGGTGTGGCATGATGCATTGTCCTGCTAGGGCGGCCACTGCCATCAGGAATGGCCATTGCCATGAGTGCGTGTACTTGGTCTGCAACAGTATTTGGGTGGTTGGAGTGTGTCAGGTGATCTCTACATGGATGCCAGGACCAAAGGATACCCATTGGAACATTCAGAAGACAATCAGTGTTATTCACTTCATCTGTCACTTGTTTTAATGTTGTGTCTAATCGGTGTACATTTAGCTTTTTGGTGCAGTAGAGGTCTTGTGACCTTCTTTAAGAGCCCAAGGAGAGGTTCATGCTCTGTCTCTTACTTCACTGTTTCAGTTCCTGTTACCTCTCATCATTGAGAAACTGGACTCAGATGTTCAGAGTGCGAAGCTGGACTCGCTGCAGACTCTGGTGAGAAATCTCTTTCTTCTAAAATAAGCAAGAAGTCTGTAAATGTGGATGATAGACAGTTGATATTTTCTAAAGCAACACAGTCACTCATTACAACAGCGTGCTGCTTAGTAGCCCTGAGCAGGAGGTTTGATGTTTAACTTATAAAGGTGATGCAGGCTGTTGCTGGAAAAGCTTCATCAGGTTTCTCACCACACTTTCTATTTTTCAGACTGCCTGTGTGACACAATATGAACACAAGGATTTGGCGGAATTCCTAGAGGGCCTGTGGGCGTCCCTGCGCAGAGAGGTTTGTTTGAGATACAAAAACAGTGTTAGTACTTGTAGTTTTGACTGATTGACGTGTGTGTGTAGTGTCTAAGCTTTATATGGAAATATTTAAACACCTTTTTGTGTGTTTTGTGTGGAGATGGCATTCTGTTTATTTAGTTGCTATGAATGACAAAAAAAATTTCACCTGCTCTTTAAAAACAAGCATCTGTAAGGCTGCTTTTACATCCACCTCTGCATTGTTTCGTCTTTTAGTTTGTGTTGTTTGTCCAGTTGCAAACACTACCATCAAGTCACCAGTTACTAACAATAGAATTGGCGGATGATACATTAGAAGTGAGAAAGTAATTGAGATCAATGCTTTGTGGGAGGAAAGAAACAAATGCAGTTTCTCGTGTTTGTAAAACCAAGAAAAACAAAGTCAAGTCTGGACCAAAGCTCATATTCATCAGTATTTTCTTCTGTTTCTAATAAGAGAAGAAACTAATTCCTCATGCACGCTTCAGGCACTGAAAACACATTTAAAATTTAAAAGATCCGTCACAGAAATATATCAAGATAAACTGTTCCTTTCCTGTCAAACTATTTAGACCAAAGTAAATACGCTGTTAAAGTAATCACCTCTCCGTGAATCAAAAGAACAAACGAATGAAGAATGTTCCCCTCTTGTTGTTTCCCTGCAGGTGTTTCAGACATCTAGTGAGAGGATAGAGTCTGCTGGCCTCGCTGCACTCACCGCACTCACTTCCTGTCTGTCTCGCTCAGTCCTCAACTCTGATTCAGAGGACTCGCTCTGCACCTTTCTGGATCTGGTTCTCAAAGGTGAAATGCTGTCAAATTGAGCTTATTAGCACTTGGAAAATGAATATATATGTTATTGTAAAGATGTCTAAACTCCAGGAGTGTTTAAAACATGCAGAAAGAAAAGAAGGATTGCCATGAGAGTGATACAGACAAACTAATTACAGTCAGTTTTATTTAAACACAAGCTGGAAGACACAAAACAACAGAACTGTAAAAGACTTGTTAAATAAGTTATTGCTCTGACGCAGGCAGAGTGACTGTAAGGGAGGGTGTGCAGATGTAAAAAGTGCTGAACTAAATATGTCAGAACTGTGGTAATGGGAGGGTTTACTGCAGTGCAGCTCTGCTCAAGTAGATGGGCAGGAAATTATACCACAGCGACTGTTCAGGGCTCTAATTTCAACCAACTGCTCACACTGTTAACAGGTCACGTAACACTGTACATGATACAATGCTCAGAATTCATGTTGTTTGTCGAAATGGTTTTCTGGAGTTGTATTCTTCTCAACATAAATAGCTCTCTGAAACAAGATACTTAGAAACTTCCAAACAAATGTCACAGCTTTATAGACTAGTGTTAGTTAATTTCTAAATATTTCAGTCTGAAGTTGTTGAAACTTTGGCTGATGTATTCAGAGGGTTTGTAAAGATCATTCATAACCCCAAAACCAGAAAAGACATGACCTCTTTCTTTAGAGTAGAAAAGTCAGTGAAACAGGATGTGATGTGAGACACTCAACCTCATAAATGAAACCTGAATATTTTAGTGTTCACTGCTCTTAATGCCAGGGAGACCCTCTCTCCTTCTTCTGTTTTTAAACTCATCTTTAAAGGAATACTTCACCCACAACATGACCATTTGTATATCAATTACGCACCCCGTGTTCTGTTTAACTTGTGAAGAAAACTTTTTTTTTAAAAACACTTTATTACACACGTTTTTATTGAGTTTTCACAGATATGTCAACAGTACATACATGTCCACAAAAATGATACAGTGCGATAAACAAATCGAATAAAAATACACAGTAACAATATATGGTTGTCTGGGACGGTTTTAGTATTTAAATAGGTATCTTCAAGTTCTTTTACTTGGTGTCATGTCTCATATACATATATCTCATATGTTCCTGTTTTGGGGGGTTGTCTTTGAGCCAGTGCCTGGCAATAGGTTTCTTACTTGCTGCAAACAAGACTTTAGTCAAGTAAATATCTTATATATATATATATATATATATATATATATATATATATCTTATATCTTTCTTAACACAACACCTTTAATGTTCCCAAGATTCATCACAAGGCAGGTATTTGGGATTTCATATCCCTAAACATTTTTAACAGCATGAAGAAAACTGCCTCCATGGTGAATGGAGAATCCAAAAACAGAGAAAATTGTTGATGAAGTGAAGTCATAGGGTTGTGTGTTTAACACAATTAAAACTTTGTCAAAACATCTGGTTGCAAACTCACATAAGTCTTGTACGTGTTCAGCAAAGCAAAAATACCATTTTTCTCAGTGAAGTCTGGATTTGAAGAGACCATAGATAAAATTCACCTACAGCTCAGTTTCCTGCCAGAAAGGGCTGTCTGTTTGGGAATCACTGATCATACTACTGGATAAATGAGACTTGAAATATACTGCAGGCATTGCTAACCAAAGAGCATCTACCTAGAGCAGGGGTGTCCAAACTTTTTTGAATGGGGGCCAGATAAAACAACGTGAAAATATGTGGGGGCCAACTGATTCTTGCATCAACTGGTTTTGTTTTTTGTTTTTTTAAAGGGAGACAATTGCAACCATTTTTATCTTTTAATGAACCATTACTACTTGATGCCTGTCTACAAACTGATAGTCCTATCATTGTGAGATGAAGGGTAAAAATATGAAGTGATCTTGCTCGATTAACCATTATTGTGTAAAGGGAGCAAAATTATTAGGGCAAAAAACAGCAGGCTGAAGTAAGAGTCTCTGTCAATGGGATATCTAAAAATAGCAGGTTTGTGGTTGTTAGAAAAGAGCAGGGATGTACTGGAACGACGCTAAACCATGTTTTTTTTCTTCAAGTAACAATTGGAATAAATGCCGGTTGAAATGCTGAAAGATCCGATCATCACTAAAGCGTATGTCATTCAAGATAGACAATAAAAAACAAACGGAATGGTCAAAGTCATATTGACATTTAAGGTGTCTTGATTGGCACACATCATCAGCTCATGCATTTAGTAACATTACAAGTAAACATTCCATCTTAAAAGTTTCCAGTAGCTGCTGCCAGTGAATTAAATTCAGCCACAACTCAGTCCTGAATAAGAGTGATGGTTCTGTACTGACCATTCAAGAAACCTCAGTGTGTCTAGTGCCACCTTTTAGTATCAGATCAGTGTACTAGGGATCCCAACAGAGGGGTGACGAAGAATGGGGACGGTTCTATTGCTACCATCATCCACAACTTATCACAGTGGAAACAGTGGAAAAAATAACATTCCAATGTTTAACTGAACTGAATCAGACTGCTTGGTGGTAATGTGGCTTATGACTTCAGTTTATCAAGAACAGTTTTTTTTGACTCATTGTACACTGTTGAGGCATGCCAGGAAAACAGAGTTTTCTTCACAAATTCATCATTACACAGGGTGTGTAACAGATAAAGAGACAGTCAGTACAACTTTGAAACATGTCCATTGGGCTTGTGTGATGATGTTCCAGATTGCAAACATCACCTGTGTGAGCCTGACCTGAAGCTGGTGTGGCCCAGCGCCAAGCTGCTACAGGCCTCCTGCAGCGCCTCCTACAGGGCGAGCCATATCATTACATCTGCTGTCATGCCCTCTCTCATTGAGCAGTACAACAGCAGAGCTCAGGTAAGTAAGGAACACTGACAGTTTGATAATGGTGCTCTTACGTCTCAGCTGTATTCTCTTTAAGTTTCATTCACATATTTATGAAAATCTGTGCTGTTATTGGCACCAAAGTCATATTTTGATACAGTGTGTGGTGATATCGGTAACTTTCTTATTATCCCTGTGCAGTGTTCCCACAGACGAACATTACTGGAGGTGGTGCAGCGGTTTATCCAGTCGGTGAAAACCTGCCAGTCGTCAGATAATGGCAAGTGCTGTTTATTACTGCCTTACATTAGGGTCACTTATTCAATCCAGGCCGCTCATGTGTGACCTCCATTTCTTACAGTTGCATCTTGTTACACTTTAACACAAATACTTAATGATACAAATCTTTAAATTATAGGTTTGGTTCAGGTTTTAATCCCCCTGTCCTTTTTTGGGGGGGAAATTCATGTGTTTACAGCTCATCTCTGTCAGATTAATGTCTCCTCTTGACATTAAATCATGCATTTTCCACATGTTCTGTGAGGTAATGTGTGTTATACAGATAGTTTGTCAGAAAGGAACTTCAAAAGGATGATATGCACTGTTACTGTAAGTCTGTCTAGGGCCTGTTTGTGCAGAACCACGGAGACTAAACACAGACTAAACTTCCAGATTTTAACTCATTGCTTTCTGTTTTTTTTTTCTGTCTGTGTTTCATCCCTTCACATTAGAAGAGAGTGTGTTTTTAGCCTTCCGCCCGTCTCTGTGCAGCATGGTGTTCTCAGCTCTGACAGAGACTAATTCCAGTCTGCAGATCACAGCCGCCTCTGTGCTCACCTCACTGGCACAACAACCAGGTGAGATGCAACATTTACAGCCAACAGCAGAGACACATTCAGTCAGCACTGTTACAGATGTTACAAACCTAACGTCTCTCTCAGGTCTGCTGTTGGACTCCGACATTGAGTTGGCCATAGATCACCTGACCAGATTGTTGCTGACGGAGGACGACGCTCAAGTCAGGTCAGCTTATGTTTAACATACTTTTGTCTGTCATCCTTTTGATTTCTTTACTGCTGCTCTGCGTTTACCTCGTCTAAACACACACATACACAGTACTTCTTTTTCCTTTGCAGTTGGACTAAACATAAATACTATCTCTATGTGTCTTTGTCTTCTTTCTGCCTCCAGTCTTGCTGTGGTGGAGTGTGCTGGAGCCTTAGCAGCGCTGCACCCAGCAGCCTTTATCACTAAAATGATCCCAAGACTAAAGACAGAGATGTTTTCTGGTAAGTGAAAAGTGCACACTTAAAATGGACTGCACTTGTATAGCTCTTGTCTATTCTTATGATCACTCAAAGCGCTTTTTACACAACGTGTCACATTCAACCATTCACACACACAGTCACACACTGGTGGCCGAGACATGGTGCCACCTGCTACTCAGTAACCATTTACACACTGATGGAATAGGCATTGGTAGCAATTTGGGGTTTAGTATCTTGCCCAAGAATACTTCGACACTTGGACTGGAGGAGCATCTTGAGAGAATCAGATTTATTAGTAAAGACAAGTTATAAGATTCTGAGAAAATCTGGCAACCTTTTCAGTCTCTCATCTTGTAGGAGGAAATGAATCTTAGTCTTGAGTTTTTCTTTGACGTGTTTATTTAATTTGTAAATGCATTATTATAATAATTGCTTCCCTTTATTATTTTATTTATCTATGTATTTATTTTTCAAAATGTGTTCTTCCTGAGTCTTATGATATTATGTTTGATACTATGGAAAAGAAGCATGGCGAATTAATTGAATTTATCATTCAGCATTAAGTCAGCAGACAGACACTTAGTTAATATACCCTACAAACCTGTTCCTCTCCCGTCTCCTCTGCTTAGAGCCCATGGATCAAGACAACAACAGAGTAGCTTCCGAGCAGCATTCCCATCATGCTCTGCGCCAGCGGTGTTTGTCTGCCCTGGCTGCGATGTCCACCCAACCCAGTGTTGTCCAGGAGAGCACACCTGTCCTGTTGGAGGTCCTCAGCTCAGCACACACAGGTAGTTTTTCCCTATATGATTCCTTTTTCTCATAATTTGCTTTGATGCATTCTCAGTCTCTCCAGAAGGACTTGGAAACAAACAATAATAGCTAGTTAGTTTGTCTCTGAATACAAAAGCTAAAGGTCAAGCAAGACTAGAGCTGTGATACAGTAACAGCACGCATCATTTTCTGAAATGTGAGCATCTCTACTGCTCGCTGACACTTCACATCTCCCAGCTGCAGTGCACTTGTGTCAGATGACATCAGTCATCATCAGGCATTGATGCAGTGAAGTGTGTCGGTGTTTAAATTCACAGGAGTTGCCTCACATGTACAGGCTAAAGGAAGGAGGAGGAATCAAAAAAGAAGTTTCAGATTAATGAACACCAGTGTCATTTTTTTCCAGGTGGTGTTGGTTTCTCAGTGGAGGAGGTGGTGCTGGCGTGTCGCAGCCTCCAGAGAATAGCAGAGCAGGTTAAAGACACTGAGGAGACGGGACGATGCTTCCATGACATCATCATCCCTCGCCTGCTGTCTCTGGCACTTCAGGCAGCACTGCAGGGTGAGCAGATCCTCAACTAAAACTACAGTGATCCCCCTTTTTTACTGACTGTGTGTTATTTTTTATTCACCACCCTCCACAGCATTCTCAAATCATTTTTAAATCTTCCTGATGTAAGTTTAATAGTGACCTTGTGCCATATAAGGTATTAAAGCTAAATGTATTAAATCCATTTAGTTCTATCCATTGATCCATAGATTCCTTCTGTTAAATCAATCTCCTCCTGTCTTCATAACTGCGACCCCATTGCTTTGCATTTTCTGAAGAAGAGTTTGAGTCTGTGACTAGAGGTCTTCACAGGTAAACAAATGACAGATCCAAACCCTAATGGACCTTGGGAATTCATACTGAGATCTGATTTAAACTCATAGTTTTTTTTCTTAAATATATATATACCCGACCTGGTTTTGCCTGAGATATTACAGACCTTGCCTGGTACATGTCTGAGAGGAGAGACCTGATGGGTCTAGGGTCTGTTTTATGGACCCAACAAACCTGATGATTTAAATTGCTACTAAAAATGTAGGTCTACTGCTAAAGACATTTCTCATGTCGGATACAACTTCCTGTTCTCGCCCATCTTACTGTATAATGCTTAATAATGTTCCAGATGTCTATTTTTTGCTTTGTTTATTCTATTGCCACTTGTTTTGTTGTTGTTATTGTTGGGATTTTATCTGCTGTAATGCCTTCATTTCCCATGCTCACCAGCCATTTTTCCTGGGCTCTACCTCTCTCTCTACCTTACTTGTTACACACACAGCACTTATGTGTTTCTGTTATGGTCAGCTCTGATCATGGGTCTTCTCATATCCAGTTGGGTGTTATACATTATATAAACATACATTATATAACATAATAAAATGTGGACCCAAATCTGTGTGGCAGCCGGGGCGGGTCTCGAGTCCTAGTGTCAGGGTAGACTTGTGAAGACCTCTATTGGTGACCTTCCACTCTCCTCTTTACCCATATTAGATAAACATGACAGTTGAAAAGGTGAATTACTTCATCTGAGATTCAGACATTTTGTACTTCATGTTCATGTTTTGCAGGCGATGAGTCATCTGGTCGTCGCAGTCCTCTTCTGGAGGAGGTGGTTCTGTCTGCCATGGTCCCCATCATCAGTATTTCCTGCTCCAGGCTGCAGCCCACGTCAGTGCAAACTCTCACTCACACGTGAACATACCTCCATAGTAAATCTCTTTGTTCTGACAACCAAAATACCATGATATAGATATCTGTATGTTTGTAAAAATCTGAACTCGGCGTAACTCATCTAAATGTAAAGACGTACTAAGCAGTGTGCAGTGAGGATTTTGATCATCAGACCTGGAGACCTGTCTGATGCTTCTTGGTGAGATTATTTGTTGCAGAGAGGAGCACTGGTAAAACTGTTCAGTGTAGAACAAGAATCTAAATCAGATTTAAACAAACTACATATGCTTGTAGTTCCTGACTGTCTCACACCTTCTCATCTTGTCAGTCTCAGATTTGTTAACATCATTTTTCATGAGGTTTACGTGGTTTCCTTTTGTGGTGTTTGATGTCGACAGGTTGGCGGGACAGACAGCGTCGAGGGCTGTGTCTCTCTTCCTGGATGGTGACGTCTCCTTTTTGCCCGACAACTCCTTCCCTTCAAACATCCGGCTGCTCAAGGTTTATAAGCACACAGATTTGTGCAGTTATTCAAATACTGTCTCTTTATATTCAGTTAACACCACAAACTCTTTTATCTCAATTTGCATCACTCATGTTTTCCACCACTAATTTAACTCCTAAATTCTCTTTGGATTTGTAGCATTTTTTTTTAAATTTCAGTGTCACTGATGCATGTTATGTTTCCTCAGAAGCAGCAGGGGGAGTCATGGAGCCAGTCTCAGATGGTTTGTCTGCTCATGGGATGTGTGTGTTCGCTACCTCGCAGTGTGAGTCTCAACTTGAACCCTTCAACAGCAAAGTATTTTTTATGTCACTGAAGCAGTTTCCTGAGTGTTGTGAATGTCTCATAGGTGGAGGTGCCTCAGATAGATGACCTGCTGTCAGAGCTGGAGGAGATGAGCTGCACCTGCACCCACCCGCTGTCATACACCTCAGCTGCAAAGTGCTTTGCTGGCCTAGTTAACAAGAGGCCGCAGGGTCAGTTTGTGACTTTGCACTTTTTGTTCCAAAACTTAAAGCCTCTCTTTGTTACCTAACATCAGCTGTGATGGTTTGGTTTGTTCCTCAGGTGATTCTCTCGACAGCCTCATTCAGAGCACCATGAAGAGAGTGTGTAGTGAGTTGGACTCTGCGACGTCATCTGTTCGCATTCAGGCCTTCACCCTCATGATCTGGGTAAGAGTCACACTGTTTTCAGTGAAGACATTTGGTATGTGATAATACTCAAAGGTTTTCATGTTAGTCATAAATTCACAGCAGCAGATGTTTGTGTAAGAAGCAGCGAGTGCAATAAAGTTGCTTTTGTCTCCAGGTTGCCAAGGCTCTGCTTCTCCGATACCACCCTCTGGTCACAACACTGACTGACAAGGTAGAAACAGAGACGCATGCACGCCTTTATCATATGATATCTTAAATACAGGTTCAGGTTCGCATAAACCGGACTTGTGCAGTCTTTCGTTTTAATTTTCCTTCCGCTGTATTTTTCCAGCTCTTTTCTCTGCTTGATGATGCTGACCTGGGTCCAGTGGCAGCAAACGGCTTTTCACTGCTGATGAGCGACTCTCCCGACATCCTGAACCGCAGATGCCACGCTGATGTTCGCATCATGTACCGCCAGCGCTTCTTCAGCGAGAATTCAGCCAAGTTGGTCCAGAGCTTCAACGCTGCACCGCAAGGTACGAGGCAACAGGATGGCTCAGTAGATTGGTTATTAACAGACCCAAATGGAATCTGCCATTTTTTTATTACAGTTTTCACAGGTGATCCAGAATGAAAATCAGTGGAATTTATTTATGAAGGATTATTCTCACCTATCGAGCAGTACGGTACGGTACAGCTGTACAGCAGTCTGTTGAGAAGTCAATAGTAGTGTTGTCACGGTACCAAAATTGAGACCCACAATACGATACCAGTGAAAGTATCACGGTTCTGAGTAGTATCACGATACCACAGCAAAAATGAGGCAGATGTGCCTTTTGTCATTTATAAAAAGATAAATCACTTTTCTATAATACATCAATGATATTTCAATGGAATAAATTACTTATTGACTTATTCATACTTCAAAAACAGCATCAATACGTAATTAACATAGGGGGGATTGAAATAAAATAAATAAATAAAATAAGAATCAACCAGCCACCCTCCTCCCCTGACAAGGAAAGAACAGTCCCTTCATAAGTAAAGAACAGTCCCTAAAGTGTGGTGAGGTTTGTGGTCCGTTACCTGCCACAAAGAGAGAAATGTGAACGGCTCGTTTCTCCCCTGACATGCCACATACCTGTCTGCCGCCACGGCAGACAGGTATGTGGTCAGTCTGTGACCCCCGTTCAACCCACAACCGGCAGGATTCGCCTTTTGTTTCTGCTGCTGGTTGAAATCTGTACTTGCACAGCGTGCTCCTGAATGATTTCTTTTGCTCACACAAAACTATTTTTGGTCACAAATGCGAGTAAAATGCTCACACCGTAGAGCTCTGTGGAAAACAAATCACTGTAGCATATATTTACAAATCTAACCTACAAGTAAAAATAAATAAATAATAACTTTAACTGCTTAAAGATACTCAATAGCTCAGCTAACACCTGAAATGTCACTGGAAAACAAACCACTGCAGCAGCAAATTGAGTGCCAGGTGGCCGGCGCGCACCATTATTGGACGGCACATGGACACTCACCCTCTTGCGATTGGACTTTGAACTTATCCCACAGTAGTGGTACTGTGAGGTACCGTAGTACTACGATACTCCAACATTATAGTATCATATGTACCGTGGAGTTTAAGTACCACGGTCTACCGTTGGCACCAGTATACTGTGCAACACTAGTCAATAACAGACGGTCACTCTGCTCAGGGCTGAGTCGTGGCTGGTTTTGAGGCTCATGTAACCACTGTTCATACTGTGGAGAGTTTAACATATATATTAGTAAACCATAACTATAAAATGAAAGGATGTTTTGCTGCCTCTCACAGCAGCTGGAGTCTGAGAAAAAGTAACATAATTCACTGGGCCGACTGCCGGCGACTTTTAAGGTGGAACGTTAAGTGACGTGAATCCATCAACACACCGTCCATGTAACAACTTTGACCGTTACTGTAGTTTTTATATGACATACACTTTTTGTAATTAGTGGATCTTCTCTTTGACGGTTATGTGAACTGTATATATGCTAAGAAGTGTCGCCAAGCGTTGTTCCTGTGGGCTACGGCAACACTAAACCCCTGCGCTTGCCTGAGAAGGACTAAATGCACAAACCTGGTATTTTTAAACATCCCATGGAGAGAAACTCTCACTTTTTTTGCTCTGAAAATATCAGCGTGCCACCTCGTTCTGTGGATGATAAACAAGGTGTGGACTTCCCTCTGTGGCACAGATGATAAGGAAATACAGCGGGTGCTAGATGGAGCAGTAAGACACAACACCTCCACCCATATCTAAGAGTACTGTTTGCAGTGGAAATGCTAAGCGGACCAAAGGTCTAGCTATCATGTCTGAATGGTTACTTTTGGTTCCAAAGGTACCATCCTGAAAGTGTTCGATGGGAACAGGGCTAAAGTTAGTTGCCATAGATGCACAAAAAGTCAAACATTTAGAGAATATTTAAAAAACAATATATAACATCTTCAAAAGAGAACAAATAATCTCTAAAGGGCTTGCATTTTTGGAGGTTTTAGACTTTTTTTGTGGTCCTGTCCTGGAAGCAGCAGTCTCAGGTTTTAGGTAATACATTAATGTTATGTATCTGTGTGTCCTCTTCAGAGAAGAAGCCCAGCTACCTGAAGGCTCTGTCTAATATCGTCAATAAACTGCCCAAGCAGGTGCAAGTCACTGAGCTACCAGCGGTGAGTAAGGAACAAACTGCTGCTGTCTCTGCAAGTTGATTTCAAAAAGTACTGAAAGAACTGTCGCCAGTGACCGTCTGCAACTTAATGAGAAGACTTGGAACCCCCAGATAATGGTCAGTATTAATGTGGAGTCTTTTGTCCCTTTCCAGCTCCTGTCTCTGCTGTTGGAGGCCTTGTCATGTCCTGACCAGGGCATCCAGCTGTCCACCCTGTCCTGTCTGGAGCCCGTCCTCATTGACCCACCACCAGCACTCATCCAGCAGCTGGAGGCTTTGATCAGCAGGCTGCTGGCCCTCCACTCCAGTCCAGCCATGGTTAGTGAGACATCGTACCTCAGAGTGTTTTCTTTTCTGAACCAAAAAGTCATGATTGTAAAACTGTTATCAGCAGTGTTAGCCAGAGCTCTAACCAGCGTTTTGTACCTTTCTTGCAGGATGTCAGAATCGTCTCACTGCGGTGCATCCACGCTCTGTCCCGCTTCCCTGAACACGAGGTAAAACTGAAAGAATTTTGTATGTTTGAGATGGTTGAGAATCTCTTGAAAGTGAAAAATACTTTATCAAAATCTTATATTTAGAGTCTTGGCCTACACTCAAATAAAAATAAGCTTTAAGGAAACTCATTTTTTACAATGGGGAACCCCAGATGGTTCCTTAAAGAGTTTTGAATAGAATGTTCCAGCCCTTAATTTAAGAATTTAAAGACATTTAAGAAGGCTTATTTATCGTCTGGACAGAAGAAGAGCATTGTCTCTGGTGTTGAGATTGAAAGCTGATTTTCTCACGAATATTATTATAAAAAGTGGCTGCAGTACAAAATAGTGCTGTGCCTCACCCATTTAAACACTTCAAATTTGACCAACTTTTTGAAATTATTACTGTACTGTACTATGCCATACCCATTGGTAGCTTTGTCACCTTCTACCTATGTCAGTCCTCAATGCCTATGTGCAGTTTCACATAGATTGACCACGTCAGTGAGTAGAAAAACGTGGGACAGACAGAATGACTGACTGACAGAATGACACACTGACAGTTTCCATGATTATATACAGCATACCATACCATGACTTAGTCATACCAAAAATTAGAAGAAAAAACAAACATTGGGCCACAGGGGGAGCCACAGCAATCAGTGGCATTTGAGCCATTTTTAAGCATTTTTCTCTTGTTATAGCGCCACCCAGTTGAATAATAATAATAGAGGCGTCCCCTCAGATTATGTGTGGTCATATGTCTACAAAGTTGCGTGGTGATCGGTGAAACCCTTGAGATGTTATACACCTTTATGTGATGAGCCACGCCCTGTGCAATATTCATTGCCTTATAGAAGCTCAGTTTTAGTAAGTTTTCCAACTTTTGCCAAGAGGGAACTTTAGATATTGGTCCCTAGATTATGTTCACCGAGTTTCATGCAGATCGGTCAAACTTCCTAGGAAGAGATCGATTTGAAGTGTTTTTCAAAAAATTAAAAATGGTGGAAAATCTATATAACCGGAAGTTATGGGTTCTTGTGGCAAATTTGTTCCTCATGAGGAGAGGCATCTCTGTGCAAAGTTTCATGTCTCTATGACATACAGCGCCCCCCTTTGGCCAATTGATGTAATATTGCTTCATTTACATCCTCCCATGACCCTCTACCACTCTGCCAAATTTCACATGGATTGACCAAGTCAGTGAGGAGAAAAACATGGAACAGACACATAGATACACACACAGACAGAGTTTTCGTCATTATATAGTAAGATAAGATATTACTATTTTTATGGACACTAGAAGACAAATTTTAGTTTATTAGAGTCACTTTTCTTTCAACATTTTATTTTTAACTGTTTCAGGTCTTACCGTTTCGGGCCCGAGTGCTGCGAGCTCTGGCCCGACCTCTGGACGACAAGAAGAGGCTGGTGAGGAGCGAGGCGGTACAGGCAAGAGGAGAATGGTAAGACTCATAAACCACTGTTTAAGAGACAAGAGACTTGGAGAGTTTGAAAATCCTCATTTTTGGAATTTGAAATCACATTTGTCAGGAGAGATTTTACCTTTTAGTTCAAGGTTTCAGTGTTATACTTCCTGCTCTCATTAACATCCTGGTGGTGCAGTAACTGGTACCTTCTAATTGTCAAGTGCCAAAATTACACTGTGCATTTATAGTTTAGTTCATTTATCGTCACAACATGGTGTCTCTTTCTTACTTTCCTTACAGGTTCCTGTTAGGAAGTCCTGGGGGAAGTTGATTCTGCTCCTCAAACACAACCCCAGCCTCCCATCCTCCCTTAACTTGGAAGAATCCAGATGTGGTAAAGTCCAGGAACAGGTACCAAGGATCAACAGCACTCTCTCCTTGGTTTAAACTCTCCAATGCTCCCTGCCCTTTTCTTCGGATCTTCCAGAACCCCCCCATCCTCCTTACTCTCATCTTTTTCAACCAGAATCCCTCCATCCTTCATCTTCTCTCCCTTTTTACTGAAATGTTTCTGTTGTAACTGTCTGTATCTTTACGAACGCACAAGTAAGAGTATGTGGACTGACTGTGGAGCAGTGTCTAAGTTAAAGGAATGAAAATGTTTGTTTAATATGCAACACACCTCATGTACATTGTTGTCTTTCTCACTATGTATTGGAGAAGAAGTAACATCAGATTGCATTGAGGTATTCTGGCTTTTTATGATTTGGAAAATGGGACTCAATGGCCACCATAAGGGCCAAAAGTTTCACATTTTAGGTTTCCTTCTCAGTCAGATCAGCAGCAGAAATGATAATAATAATCATAATGAAATGAAGGACAGTATTTTTGATGTTTACTTAAATCTAGTAAGAAAGTCAAGGTCTGAAATTCCAAATGGCTCTTGTTGAATGCACTTTGAATGTGTCAACTCCTATACACAGAGAGGAAGCAAACAATGTGGATGTATTGAATGGGAATGTCACCACAGTGACCTGATGAACTTTTTTAAAATTTTAAGACCATTTTTGAGACGTTTGGCTGCTGGAAAGATCAAAAATCTCCATTTCCTGCATATAAAGATGTAAACAACCAAATGAGAGCAGCACTGAGCCCAGCAGGCACTGATAGATAGCCTTTATCTTCCCATGTGGATGAATGTGTAGCTGAGCAGTAATGTCCTAACAACAGCTGGGTTGGGTCACTGAGACCTGGGAGAATGTGCCATTTGTCCTCTGGTTGCTCACCGGGTGACATGAATCAGTGTTTCACACCTTCGCTGACGAGTTAGATTTTAAGATGCATTTTACATAATTGAATAACTATGTTGAGTTAATTAAGATTTAAGTTATGTGAACAAAATTTCAAATGTCTGCCTTGTATTCGATCAATATTTAAAGAAATATTGATGCTGTGTCATAGTTATTGTCGAGTCATTGCAGGTAGGTTGGCTACTTTGGACCTCACATCAACTTATGCCAAGGAAATAGACAGTATTTAAAATGTCTAACTTAAAATGTCATTAAAACATTTCTTTGTAATCGTAATCAATTTGATGTTCTTTTTATGTCTCTGTGCTGGCGACAGCCGTGGCCAGAGGCATTATGTTTTCGGGTTGTGTGTACGTCCTATCAAGAACACCTTGAAGGTTTTTTTTTTTTTTTTTTAATTTGGCACAAATGTCCATTTAGACTCAACTGATTAGATTTTGGTGGTCAAAGGCCAAGGTCACTGTGACTTTGTGTCTGTCTTATTTTCGTGAACACATTATCTCAAGATGGCTTTGAAGGAGTTTCCTCAAATTTGGCACAAACATCCATTGGGACTCAATAATTAACTGATTAGATTTTGGTGGTCAAAGGCCAAAGTCACTGACTTTGTGTCTGTCTTATTTTCGTGAACACATTATCTCAAGATGGCCTTGAAGGAGTTTCCTCAAATTTGGCACAAACATCCACTGGGACTCAATAATTAACTGATTAGATTTTGGTGGTCAAAGGCCAAAGTCACTGACTTTGTGTCTGTCTTATTTTCGTGAACACATTATCTCAAGATGGCCTTGAAGGAGTTTCCTCAAATTTGGCACAAACATCCACTGGGACTCAATAATGAACTGATTACAATTTGGTGGTGAAGGTCGAAGGTCACGGTCACTGTGACCTCACAAAATGTGTGCTGGCCATAACTCAAGAAGTCATATGCTTATTATGTAAATAATTCACAGAGGGCTAACAGGATATAATGATAAAGTGATGACACTTTATATCCAAAAGGTCAAAGGTCAACGTCACCATGACATCATGTTTTGTAAAAACACTTTTCTGGCCATTATTCAGTGTCATAACTCAGGAACACGGATTAAAATTCTGCAATTGGATGGGATGGGCAACAGTTGGTTAGATACTGAATTAGTGACACTAATCTTGGGTGTCCACCTTGTAACTGTGCTGTTGGAATAGATCTTCTGTGCTGCCGGGGGAAGATGTGTGTGTGATGTGTGTCCATGTTTTCTCAGACATGGATGTAAACTCTATGAGCAACCTGACTGGTGCATAGAGGCGTATAACCACAAGGCTGTAATTCTAGTTCACATTTAAAATAGAAACATTTATAACTCAAAATATGAAACACGTGGTTTATTGAAAAAGACAAAGTAAATCAAAGTGGAGCACAGCTCCATACATGATATCACAGCTGTACGTCATGTTTCTATGGCAACTACAAATCCACCCAATCTATCATTAAGTTATTGGTATGAACATTTTGGTGTGGAAAATATGAAAGGGAATTAAAAATGTGGAATTACATTTCACAGTGCCTGATTCACTTAAAGTGCCTCAATGTAAAGGCTGAACAACCAAACAAGGCACAACAATTTCTTTATCAGTGTCAAAGACCTAAAATCAGGATGACTGCTGTGCAGGTTTTTTCTTCTTTTTTTAACTAAACTGGCAAGTAAGCAAAAGATTCAAGTTTAAGCAGAAGTGTATCAAACTTACTCCTCTTCGGCACCACATCAGTTAGCACACACTCCCCAAGACACAGCAGCAGAATACTGCAGGTGCAAACATGCAGGGCAGTAAACCTTAAAATACATTTTTAAAATTTTTAAATAATCACAGGACATTTAAAGAACAAAATCAAAGATTAACATTGAGAATATGTTTTTACCTCACGACTTGCCTCATCACATTAAGAAACACTTGGTTTTATCCTCAGCCCAACACACATAAACAGTTATTATAGACAACGTACAAGACCTCTTCAATAAGCAGACGAGGACGAGGCTCATATCTCTGGCTCTGCATGAAGTCAAGGATCAACAGGGCGTCCATTATCAAAGATGCTATATGTTGCATTTTATAGACAATGAACCATGAACACATTAAAGTCACAATCTTGAATATCTGTTGTGTTTTCTTTGGCAACACATATGGCGACAAGTGGTGACTGCAGGTGTGTTGAGAACTGGATAAAATGTTGGAGGCGGTGCCCGTTTCATTCTCAAGTTGCTCAATGGCGCATAAAGCCAGAAAAGTTCAGCTTCTTGGGTGTAAAATTACCCAATACACCAAATCATTGGGTCCCTAGAGCAAGCACATGAGGGACTTTGCCTCCTAAGTAGCTAACTCAGCACTAAGCTAACTTGTATAGGGGTAAAATAAATAAATTGTGCAGGTCTTCTGGACTTCTGAGACGTTACCAGACTGAATGGATCAAATCCCGATAGTGAAATGAGTCATTTAGTGGGGGGGGTGACACTCAAAGAAATGAAGCCACTGATTTATAGGTGTCTTTTGGGACTGTGACATCACGCGACTGACCAAGTTGTAATTCCACAGAATGGCCACTACTCCTCGGAGCTTGAGGTTGAAGAGCAAGTCTGTTACGTTAGCTCCGCCTACACTCTCTGGCGGACCAACCACTGCTGGGTGATGCTCCGCTTGCGATTTCTCCCAGGAATGTCGCCACACACACTCAGTTCATTACACTACAAATGCAAGGTCTTTCATCGGTTGGCTCAATCACCACTGTGTACCTCATATGGTCATAGATAGTGACTAAACAGACAGTTTATTTAAATGAAAATCTTCAAGACTATTACTTTAACGCTGGCACATTTAAACAGTGTAAACAAATAAGACCTTCTCTGACAGGTCAAAGTATTTGTTTAGTATTTGTGTGTTGTATTAATATCTGTAAATGCAACACATAGCACCTTTAATAAGCCGTTAACTTCATGCTGTGGTGTTCATCAGTGCCTCCCATACTGGGGAACACACCATACTCTTCGTTAAGAAAGGTTTGGGCTTTTTAACAATGCTGACCAGCAGCACCATTTACACATCACATAAGCCAACAGCACTGCAGTCGCAGGGTGACATCAGCTGGTGGCGACGTCCACAATAAGACCTACTGTTACAGGTCCACTGGAGACAGGTTGAAATGATATGGGTCCTAAGACGATGAATCACGAGTGGTTATTCCCATGTGGGTCCCATTTAAAGCAGTGCAAATACCAATGCAGCAAGTTATGTGTATTTATATAACTACAAAGCTTTTTCCTCGCCAAGTGATTGTAGCAGCAGGAGCTTCTTTTCTTTGTCCCGAGCTGGTCACAGCAGCGTGAAACATCACTCACACTGCCTGTGGTGTAAATGCAGGTTAGAGTTTTTTGATATGGTTTGGAGTTTAAAAAAGAAACAAGGGTGAGGATCAGATAGCCATGGGGTCTCTTCTGGTGAAGTTGCAGTCCCACATGATGCCATCCCCATTGGGAAGATGGCTGGAGGGCAACAGGACCCGTGTGAACCAGTGACTGAGGAACAGAAGGACAAATAATTGTGGCTGGAAACAAAACTGTGGTGTTTAACTGCAGTTGCTTTCACCATGGTAACCAGAGGTTGTTAAACAGTGACTGAAATAAAATAAACAGTGACATTTCAACAGGCAGCATTTAGAAATATGGGTAACTGAACTCACCTCCTCCTTTCCACACCAAGCAGTAACCTCCAGTTGTTCACTGCACCATGGTGATATGGATTTCTGAACACCTGCATCGAAACAAAAGAAGTATCAACAGCTGTTAATGTGCCATTTTTGAAGGGGTTAACAACAGTTAACATTATTTAGCGCACAGCATGCAATTTCTGCTGCTATGGGTCTCTCACTCAAAACAACAAAAAGTAGACTTTGATGACGTTGTGAAGCAGCGTGGGATCATGGGAGTTGTTGTCCTTGTTAAACAAACACCATTGTTCTATATGATGTGACTTGGGCAGAGATCATGTTTACTGACGAGGAAATTTATTTAAGTTTTATTCATGTAAGGTTTCGTCATGTTTATTCCTGTTAGATAATTTCATTCTAAAAAATCTGCCACAACTAACGTAGCTAACGCTACTGTAGCTAACGTTATGTGGCAAATTCAACTGTAGAGTTGCTCAGTGCTGTTAGCTGTGGTCAAAACTATCATACTAAAAAATAACTCTGACCATGTTAAACATTGTCTTAATGTTACAGCGTTACCATACTCATTAGCTTGATGGCTAGCATGAGCCACTTGTCATTCATCATTGTAAGCTGCATTGATGTTAAAATAGATCAATAAATTAGGTGTTTACTGGATTATTGTGTTGCAAAATTGTATAACAAAAAGCATTTTGCAGGTTGCAAAACAAGAGGTGCATCGCACTGCCTTTTTCAATTGAATGCCACTAGTAAAAAAAAAAAACCGCTTGCTGCGCCTTTTTATTGTTAACCTTTCCATGTCACCAGTCAGTAAATAGTTTGTCGGGCACAGAGAAACGAAAATCTATGAAGGTACATGAGACCCTAAAAAAGGAGGGTGGATCAAGGGGAGTACCACCAGTTGGTCCAGGAGCTTCGCCTCCATGATGGCCGTTTCCAGGCATATTTTAGGACTCGGGTGCAGTCTGACAACCTGCTGTCTATCATTGGGCCGTATAGCTCTGGATATCGGGCAACTGCTACCACCAGTTTACCAGTTGTTGTTGTTGTTGTTAGGACCACCATAGAACCTGCTTCTCAGATCATCCGATTGGACAATGGGAAAGAAGACGACGAAAAAGAGATGACGTGGGGTGATTACAAAAAGCCTCCTCCAGCTGCTTAAACGCTTTCTGTGTAAATGGGGCCTTACTGAGTATAACTCGGAGAAAGTTTTGACTCCTTCCTCACTCTTTGATGTATCATCTGGTGTGTCCCCAGAAGGTAAAGCAACTACAGGGAGTAAAGGGAATATGACACCATTGACAGGTGAGCAAATGTAATGCACCGTTGCCTTAAAAATATTACAGATTTCTCTGGGTCTGAATATTGTTGCAAACATTTGGGATAACATAAGTACACAATTAAACAAAAAATATGACAAAGGTCTGCTCGTTCTTATAAATTTTGATGTGGAAATGTTGCGTATTATACCTTCAAGCTTTGTGTCTTAAAATTTACAATTACATGTTCCCAATAAGAGCACTCAGTGGTCCAGTGCTGGTTTGTACATGTGTGTGTGTACCTTGCCCTTCTCCTTCAGTCTTCTGGCCTCTTTGCGGTTGATGTGGCGCTCCACGCTGGTCTCTCCTCTGCTGATGAGTATGGTGTGCCACAGGGTGAGTCCTCCAAGAGCTACAGCCACCGAGCTGCAGGGAGGACATATTACAACCTGAGCTGTCTGCATGATGTCATCAACCTTTAGCGGATGTTTAAAAAAGGGAAATACATGTGGGGAAGTTTTTCCTACCTGGTCAGCACCCAGAGGAAAATGATACTCTTGTGGGCAGTGCTGTCTCTGTAGGTTTCTGTTGGAGGAGGGATCTGATAGTATCTCTGAAGGGGACAGAAAACAGTCAGGCTAACTATTTATCCTGGTGTCAGATATGGAGTTCTTCCCTCACAGTGAGCTCCCTGCTCTGAGGTCATTTTGGCTCAGCATCAGAAGGCTGTTTACAATATGGGTACGTGACAGGTCTAACACGCTGGATCCTGTTCCTGGGCAAGTGATCTTTGGGTGGCACGGACTTCCAAACCTTTAAACTAATTGGTATTCAAAGCCCAGAGCAGTTTGTTTACCAGCTGGTGCACAGCCACCTTGGATATAAGGCCGTCCTGGATCAGAGTTAAATGTGAGAGCGGAGAGCAAAGATCCTTTTCGTGTCTCTTGTTTCGCTTATCATTTGCCATCAGAGCTCATCTTCTGCTATCTTGCTGCCGTCTGGCAGGTGCCAGTGTACATAACATTTCATCATAGCTCCTTGTCTAAACTGGACACCGTCTCTATCCGTGCCATTAGCAACAGTGGTAGCCTGAAGGTTAAAGGGACAAAAACACACATTTTATCTTTTACCTGTGGAACTACTGATTTACATTTAGATACTGCTGGCTATTATAATTCTTCACCTCACCTCTATAGCACTGTAGGCATCCAGAAACAAGTCCCTGCTGCTGATGCTGCAGTAGATGCAGCCCAGGGTCATGTATAGGCAGAAGGAGAAGAAGTAGCGGTGGTTGAAATGGCCCACACAGTTGTTCAACCAGGCTGGAAACATGTTAAGTTCAATGTGTACAAAATGGGGATAAAAAAGTTTGAGCAGTTTTGAGTTTTTTTGTGCGTGTGTGTGTTGCTTGTCAGAAGGATACGACAGTGGTGGTCCATCTTCAAAACACACCTGTAATGTAACAGAAACTGTTTAAATCAAATTTACAAAGACAAAACTGGCAGAATCTGTTCATATGAATTGTTATTTGGTTGTCTTACACGTTGCAGATGCTGCAGTGGTGCGTCCTGGGCGGTTTTGGAGTGATGCATTTCTTACAGATGGACACTGAGGGAATGTGAAGTTTGTCCTAAAATAAACACAGAAACACAGATTGAGAGGATATATTATTGGAACGACAGACGTCAAGCTAACAAAGAAAAAGACGGAGACAATTTATCTACAAAAATGCCAATGACACAACACTGTCTTTTTAAGACCCCTAAAAGCTTATAATGGGTAGTGGGAATTCTTCCATGCCTCTGGCGAATAACGAATCCAAAAAAGGCAAAGTTCCAAATTTCACTTATAGAGTTGTACGCTTCCCAAACGCATGCATTTTTGTACCGCCCCAACAGGCCCCTCAGGTCTGTTTCAGAGTCCAGGTGAAAAACAAAGGGTGATCGGGCCTTTTCAGTTTTTGCTCCTCGGCTTTGGAACAGCCTCCCACTGAGCGTCAGATCAGCTGACTCTGTTCACGTCTTTACATCTCGTCTCAAAACTTACTTTCACAGATTGGCCTTTCCTGACAGTTGATAGACTTATTGTGTGTATGGGTGTGTATGTATTTTTGCAGCCATGTGTGTATGTATGCATGCTCAAAGGTATATATGTGTTTAATGATATATGTTGGTGTAGGCTTATGTATATTGTTGTGTTTTATTAGTACCGCTTTTGTATATTCTTCGACTCGAAAAGTGCTTCGAGCAACCTTTCAGTTTAAAAGACGTTAGTACAAACAGTGTTATGCACGGCAGAATAGCACACCTGGGCATACGCGTGTGCTTAACCTCTGCTCAAGCAAGTGTTTTAAGTTATCATGTTTTGGCAAACCTGCATGTGTTACGGAAGTACTGAGCATACGACATACGAAATGAGACTTGGATTACACTGCACAAGTTGTATGAGAGTTTGTAAACGGACGATTTGATATAGTTTTGCTGCTGTTTGACACAGTCCCCATTTACTTGAATCAATGAGGAATGTTTGCGTTTTTTGGATTCCTCGTTCACCCATGAAGCATGTGAGAAAAACAAAGTTTTCTTCATGAATTCAAGGTAACACATGGTGAGTAACTGATGTACAAATGGTTATTCTTTATTTCAGTCATCTAACCTATTCAAAAAACCCCATCAACTTCAAGACTAGGGAACTGGAAGTGCAAAAATGTTAACTCATTTCTAGGTTCAGGACTCATTCCTGCAGTACTCTGTTGTAACAAATCGTACCAAAGTACAAATGTCATGCCACAGTAGACATGCCATAACATGTCAGCATTTATCAGGAGTTTGGTACCTTGGGTGGGTGTCCTGCGGCGGTGGTGGTGGCCTTGTAGTAATGGAAGACCACCATGACAAGGAGCCAGTGGCCACAGCAGAGGTGCCAGGCGACCCAGTACACAGGGTAAGTGTTGAGGATCGTGGGTAGGACGAACAGGTAGACGATGACCACAACTGAGGTTGTTAGCATAATGACTAGACAGACAAACACCTGAGAGAGGAAGAGAACAGACATGAGAGGGTTAGGACCAGAGTTTGGGGGTGTAGACAGAGGAGAAGCACCCAGAATAGAAATCCTACCAGGCCAAACCAGCGGGTCACATTGTCCACAATCCAGTAGACGGGCTCGAACGCACAGTCCAGCAGAGTGTCTGCGTTGGTGAGGCTGTTGGAGTAAAGGGACTTGAGCAGCAGCTTGCTGTAGCTCCACAGCTCCAAGAACCTGCCGCTGATCCATGGCTTGCTGGTCCCCCCGCCTCGGCTTCCTCTTTGCGGGCGGCACAGCCGGCACCAGCGCAGCGCGAGTCTCATGGCCCGGGAGAGCTGCCACCTCCAGCTGCTGCCCATACGCATGCCACCGCCACCTCCTCTCCTACACGCTCTGCCTTCCAGACACACACAAACACACAGACACACACCCCAACAGTTACAAACCAGGGCGGCGTAAAACAGCAGCTCTTCGTAGCGTAGCCTGATGGAGTTTTCCACTGTCATCTCGGCTGTGGGAGCTCTTTGCACATTTGAAACTAACAGCCAAGATACAAGAAGGCAGCACGAGGGACCTCCACTCCTAGAAAGCACCAGTCAAGTTGTGTGACAGCATCTTTAGTGTGACACATGTCCATCAAAGCAAACAAGGACGGGCTATCAGGTAATGAGCTACGCCCGTCAGCCCCTACAAATAAACTTCTCCTGTTAATAATTCACAGCAAATCCACATCCACAGGCCAAAAACCTCTGAGAAACTTGCAAGGGAGAGGCAGAGAGGTAACACTGTAAGAGGGAAATGCAATGAGATGAATGTCTTAAGAAGGAAATAAAGTAGCCACCTGATCCAGGGCATCATTTCATGAAAGTGAGTATAGGTTACACAGATAAGGCTTGTTCAGGTTCTCCAAAATAGGATGGCATTAATAATGAGAGCTGCTAATCAGGACCTTTAGACAGTAACAGTACGGCCTGTCAGCAGGCTGCCCTCTGTCTGAGCTGAGACCAGACTGTCCACAGTGACCACTGCAAACACACGCTGGGAAAAAAAAAAGCCTGTGAAAGTGGAATAAGTGACTGAGCTTAAAAACTAAGTGTGACACATGTCCCATCTGCCAGAGTCACTCAGGATGACACAGATAGGTTTTCCATTCTGTCTTCATTAAAAGGTTCAACATGCGACATTAATAAATCATGGTGAACACATTAACTCTATAACATTAGGGAGATCATGATGAAAAGCTAGCAGTAATCACAAGAAGTCAAGCTTAGGTCTGCACCTAACTGGTGCTGGATATTTTTAAAATTACAATACCAGCACCAATATCAATAGCCTTAAAATGATACTGATATCAACAGTAGTTCATGCCATACCTGTTATTTGAATAGAAGCATCCAGTTGTGTAAAATGCCACCACCACTCCTCCCCATCCAAATGATTTGTACACAAATACACTGTGAAAGTGTTTCATTTTGCATTTTGATGGCTTCTCTGCACACTGAGCGGCCCACTCCACCCAAACTCAACACACACCGCACTCAGCTTCACCACACCACAGACTGTATGGGTTGTAGGTAGCTGCTGCTGGAGTGGGACAGTCACATGCTGTGTTGAAATTAAGATTGTTTGCCATGACTGGCTGCAAACAAAACCATACTAACAGTCATTTTTTTCTAGATGTAGGTACAAAAAGGATCAAATGCAGGTATCATTTAACTTGAGAGGTGCCAATACTACTTGGTGCTGGGTTATTCTGGTTAAAGGTTAAGGGGTTAAGGGACACCATGCCTTTGCGGTAGCTGCTCCAAAGCTTTGGGATAGCCTTCTGCTCTCAATCAAATGCTCCCCCTCCAATGACATTTTGAAGACAAATCTTAAAACATACATGTTTTCAGTTGCTTTTGGTTGTTTGTAGTGGTTTTAATATTTTGGTATTTCATAAACATTTTATGTATGTAATTGTTCTTACCGGTTTTATTCTGTTTTATATTTATGTACATTTTATAGTGCCATATATTTGTGTGTCATTCTTTTATTTTGTACAGCACTTAAGTCAACTGCGGTTGTTGTTAAATGTGCTATATAAATAAAGATGATCTGATTTGATTTGAAAGGTATTGAGTTCTGATACCCAGCCTGACAACTAACAATCACTTTTTTATTAACCTGCAGATTATTTTCCAGAGTGAGCTATCATTTAATTGTTTTGTCAATAAAATCAGAACCAATCAACACCATCAAACAGTTCGATGGGCCTGGAACTGATGTTTGTTTTCATTATCGTTTCATTTGCCCGTCATTTTCTTACAGATGGTTAATCGCTTTGTCAATAAAGTGTCTGAAAATATTTTAATAGCTCTTTGCAATTTCCCAGAGCCCAAGGTGACTTATTCAAATGGTATGTTTTATCCAAACAACAGTCCAAAAATCCAAAGCTATTCAGTTTATTAACATGTATGACAAAGAAAAGCACCAACCTCTCACACTTTAGAAGCAAGAAACGTGAACTCCTCACATTTAAGAAGCAAATACAAGACCATGTTCGGCTTTCTTACTTGAAATTACTGAAATGACTAATGGGTGATCATTTTCTATTGATCACCTAATCGCAGCTACTACTCATGGCACAGTAGGACAAAATGATGATTTGATAGATGGGCATGAGGGAAACCATTAATTTTTACATGTATCGCTATTGTCTCTTGACAGATTATGTCTCGATGAAGAAAATTCGATAATCAGATATTTACAGCCCGAAATTATGATCGCCTGTTACAACTGTGTGAGACTGGGCGTCTGTGTGTTAACAGATGTCAACATGTGCATCGTGGTTATGTTTGAAATTTATACTGTTGCATTAATAAGAGTTAATGGAAGTAAATTAATCAAATTTGATATTGTTCTGATCATGAGACTAGAGCTGTAACGGATTATTATTTACTAATTGACACATTCTTTCATTATATTTGCAATTAATCATGTGATCTGTGAAATATTATAAAGTATTCAAAAGCAAGTTCCCAGTTGTCACACTCAAAAAGCTTGTTTTGACTGACCATGACCACAGTCCAAACATATGACAAACATACCGCCACCTGAACAGACACACAGCAGCACCTCTGCCTGTTGCACAGACCGGCTGATGGCTGCCTAAACAGGACCTTAAAAAGGCACAGTAAATGTGCATGTACCAGGGAGCGACAGGTGGAACAGGAGAGAGTGGCACACAGCCGGACGCTGCTGTCTCTATGGCAACCTGCTGCCCTAAATCTGGTCTTAGAGGACAAAGTAAAGCTTATTACAGTGAGAAACACTGGCAGTGATCTCCATTTCTTCTACCTCTGTTGTGTCTCAGTCTGTCTGAGTCAAAGAGGAGGAGGAGGAGGAGGATTTTAGACAGGCTGCTGGTTCAATACTCATCATTCTGATGAAAAAAAAAAAAAAAACTGCGGATAAAGTTCACATGTGACATTCTTAAATCATGCAAACACACAAGTAGACTAAGACTTACATGCTTGTTTTTTTAAGTAGGATAAATACATACAATACATTTGTTACAATATAAAAAATGTCTTTGATTTTTGACTCTTGGTGAAAGTACTGGAAAACATTTTTTTTTGCAATCCTCATCATTATATTCGTCACTAAATTATTCATCACACATTCATTAACACTTCCAGCAAAGCTTTAATACTTTCAACAGTCGCTTTGACACTGACCACATCTGCTCATCTGTTGCATTTGCTTTCTCTGATTATTCAGTTCTAAAACTTGGTATTAATAAGTAAGTATTAATGAAGAAATACAACAAAATGTGAAGATAGGCTAACTAAATTTATATTAATATGGTGACTGGGGTTATGGTTATTAGAATATTGTGTAGAGCTGAAATGATTGGCTGTTAATCAATCAATCAATCAATCAATCAACATGGCAGACAATACCCTGTTCCAGCCTCTCCAAAATGTGGATTTGCTGCTTTTTTGCTGCTTTATTTCATTGTCAGTGAATATTTGTGGGTTTGCTGCTGCTGTAATTAATAAATAAATAAATAAATAAATAAGACATCTGAGGAAGTCACTTTGAGCTTTGGGAAGTTTATGGGTATTTTTCACTTTTCTTATAATGGTCTTATAGTTCATTTTATGAACATATTAATAGCTGAATATTCTCCTGAGACGCTGTGTCCTCATATGAGGACATCACATTTTGGGTTTACTTGACCTTATACTTCATTCTACTGAAGTTAGACCTGTTGTCCTTGTTCGTGGACACTTTTTTTGTGCCATCTAGTGGTAGTAAGAGCACAATACACTAATCCATGTAGAAACAAGATGGCAGCCATCTCTGTCAAGTCAGTCTGCAGCCGATCCTGACACAAAAGTGGACAAAATCTGATCACATGCAATGGCAGAAACTTGTTTATCTATGATTAATAATGTTTGTAGTTTGATATGGCAACAAATTTGACCAATTTTAGCAAAAGTAACAAGCTAAGACACTGTTAATTAAGAAGTACTTGTTTGAGGACAGTGGGACTTTATTATTGTCTCGTTTGAGGACATTGAGATTTAATTATTGTTGAAAATGTTAGGGTTTTTTTTATACTTATCAGGTCCTACTGATCCCAGATAACTGGGCAAATAAAAAATACATACCAAACAAAGGTTTGGGTCTCAGGAGGATAGAGAAAATAATCAACAGATTCATTGATACTGAAGAATTATTGCTTCTAACCCTAATATTATGATTTAATTATGTCCAGTGATATATTTTCCCAGTGTAAAAGGCCTCATTACAGTCAAGTGATGCACATTTTTGAACCTACAGTTCTGAGTGAAATTAATACAACATTTTAACATTTTAACAGTTATAATTCCCCCCTCAGATTATATTACCTACCTCTTTGGTTTAGATTAGAAACTGTGGAAAGCACCAACAGACACAGCCAGAACATCCGTATACAAACATACAGGTATATCTCGATGTGTCTGTCTGTTGATATTATCATGTTACGTTAGCTCTAGTCGCACAGAGAATATCACCTTTGGCCTGATGAATTCAATGGACGACTGAGATTAAACACTTCAACAAAAATCCAAATTAATGCAGTTCACACTGACCGGCTCTGTCTTGTAAATATCTCATCTTATCAACCAGTATAAAAAAAAACACAACATGTCATGCTCTACCGTTAAGTTAGCTAGCTGCTGGCTGCTAGCTGCCCCCAGCTACCTTCAACCCGCCCACGTTAAGAGTCATTTCTAATAAATACAGTTCACTAACTCGGACCAAATGTGACACTGACATAGTGTACCTGGTCAGGTGAAGTGGGCGGACAAGCCTGCGGCTCTACGGTCAGGTCATGGTCAGGTGAAAGTGTTAGCCATCGTCTCCACTGCCTGCAGCAGACCCGCAACACAGAGCGGCGGTATTCACAAAGATTGTCTATTAAACAGATGTTTCACTCAACACTAGCAAGCGGATACGTCTTCCGGGTAAACTTCACACTAGAGAAAAGTCGTTTTCTTTTTTTATTTTATTGTAGCAGTGAAGGGTTAAACTGCTATTTCAACAAGATTATATCAGTTTGGTTGATTCTCCCCAGGTAATCCGTTATACAACGGAAAGTTCCTCTACAAGGGTTCTGTCCCTGAAAATAACACCAAAGTGGGACCTCTTTATCTTCTTCGCTTCTTTGGTCTAGCTCGCTTGAGAGCGCGCAATGTTCCCTGGGAAATGACGTTATATTTTGTTGTAACATAAATTAAAACGTCTCTCAGTTCGCGCTGCTGTTATTACAAATGGTGAAATAACACCCTGTTAGTTATTGACAGTAGTAGTCCTTACGACGACAATAATAACTATTTAATAAGTCGCCCATTTAAGACCAAAAACAGTGTTTTCCCAAAATTTGGCATAACCAGGAAGTTCTGAGGTGTCATATGATTGTAGAAAAATGGCTGCGGTGCAGTGGTAAGCTCTTTTCTTATTAAAAAAAAAACACCGTATCATTACAAACATATGTTAAATTGTACATTTATTGATATTGTGTGAAGTGTGAGAACGTACATGCAGTAAAACCGTGTGTGTCGCGAGCTTCGTTATAATGTAGCGTACCGAGTGACATGTCAACTTTTTTGCAGGTTGTCAACAAAATATTACCAGTTTGCTGCAGCATTGATATGTGGTATTGTGATTTAGGCCTTCGGTTAAATAAATGCCCTTTTGGCTAGGGTTTGGTTGTAGTCTAAAAAAAGCCTATGGGGTTGTGTCAAAAGACTCACACAGGTTCTGTAGCACTTTCATATTGGGTGTCTTTTGCCACCTCATCTTTTTAAAAAAAATCTTAGATCGCAATAAGACTTAATCAGTGGGGTTTTTTTCTTGCAAGATAGAAGCAGTGCATATAATAGCATTAAAAACAGAGTGTCCGCATCAGTAGTAAGAGCTCAGCTGCAAGTAAACAAACAGTATGCCTGTAAGCTCACATGGTGACTGGCAGGATGTCAGTAGAAACAGCTGACTCTGATCTGGTCTCCTGTCTGTCTGTTGTGTACCAAGGCGATCCAGAGGGCGCAACTATGAGGCAGAGCTGCAGAGATGTCATCCTGAGGCCTCTCCGATTGAATTTGGAGACTACCATCCCCTCAAACCCATCATGGTAGACAACCATCTGCTGTCTTTCTACTGCTCAGCCTCAACACTAACACCACCACCAGCTCTGCACACGATTCATAAAGTTCTGATGTCTGTCACAACATCACAGCATCAGCATTAGTTGCTCCATCAGCATAGTTAAACGAAATCTATTATGTTACTCATCTGTTGATGTACAGTACAGGCCAAAAGTTTGGACACACCTTCTCATTCAATGCGTTTTCTTTATTTTCATGACTATTTACATTGTAGATTCTCACTGAAGGCATCAAAACTATGAATGAACACATGTGGAGTTATGTACTTAACAAAAAAAGGTGAAATAACTGAAAACATGTTTTATATTCTAGTTTCTTCAAAATAGCCACCCTTTGCTCTGATTACTGCTTTGCACACTCTTGGCATTCTCTCCATGAGCTTCAAGAGGTAGTCACCTGAAATGGTTTCCACTTCACAGGTGTGCCTTATCAGGGTTAATTAGTGGAATTTCTTGCTTTATCAATGGGGTTGGGACCATCAGTTGTGTTGTGCAGAAGTCAGGTTAATACACAGCCGACAGCCCTATTGGACAACTGTTAAAATTCATATTATGGCAAGAACCAATCAGCTAACTAAAGAAAAACGAGTGGCCATCATTACTTTAAGAAATGAAGGTCAGTCAGTCTGGAAAATTGCAAAAACTTTAAATGTGTCCCCAAGTGGAGTCGCAAAAACCATCAAGCGCTACAAGGAAACTGGCACACATGAGGACCGACCCAGGAAAGGAAGACCAAGAGTCACCTCTGCTTCTGAGGATAAGTTCATCCGAGTCACCAGCCTCAGAAATCGCAAGTTAACAGCAGCTCAGATCAGAGACCAGATGAATGCCACACAGAGTTCTAGCAGCAGACCCATCTCTAGAACAACTGTTAAGAGGAGACTGCGCCAATCAGGCCTTCATGGTCAAATAGCTGCTAGGAAACCACTGCTAAGGAGAGGCAACAAGCAGAAGAGATTTGTTTGGGCCAAGAAACACAAGGAATGGACATTAGACCAGTGGAAATCTGTGCTTTGGTCTGATGAGTCCAAATTTGAGATCTTTGGTTCCAAGCGCCGTGTCTTTGTGAGACGCAGAAAAGGTGAACGGATGGATTCCACATGCCTGGTTCCCACTGTGAAGCATGGAGGAGGAGGTGTGATGGTGTGGGGGTGTTTTGCTGGTGACACTGTTGGGGATTTATTCAAAATTGAAGGCACACTGAACCAGCATGGCTACCACAGCATCCTGCAGCGACATGCCATCCCATCCGGTTTGCGTTTAGTTGGACGATCATTTATTTTTCAACAGGACAATGACCCCAAACACACCTCCAGGCTGTGTAAGGGCTATTTGACCAAGAAGGAGAGTGATGGAGTGCTGCGGCAGATGACCTGGCCTCCACAGTCACCGGACCTGAACCCAATCGAGATGGTTTGGGGTGAGCTGGACCGCAGAGTGAAGGCAAAGGGGCCAACAAGTGCTAAACACCTCTGGGAACTCCTTCAAGACTGTTGGAAAACCATTTCAGGTGACTACCTCTTGAAGCTCATGGAGAGAATGCCAAGAGTGTGCAAAGCAGTAATCAGAGCAAAGGGTGGCTATTTTGAAGAAACTAGAATATAAAACATGTTTTCAGTTATTTCACCTTTTTTTGTTAAGTACATAACTCCACATGTGTTCATTCATAGTTTTGATGCCTTCAGTGAGAATCTACAATGTAAATAGTCATGAAAATAAAGAAAACGCATTGAATGAAAAGGTGTGTCCAAACTTTTGGCCTGTACTGTAGTTAAAGGGACAGTTCACCCCAATATCAAAACTGCAATTTTTTTCTCTTACCCATAGTGCTATTTATCAGTCTAGGTTGTTTTGGTGTGAGTTGCCGAGTGTTGGAGATATTGGCTGTAGAGATGTCTGCCTTCTCTCCAATATAATGGAACTAGATGGTACTCAGCTTGTGGTGGTTAAAGCGCCAACAACGCAACATTTGAAAACTCGACAGCAATGTCTCTTTCCAGAAATCATGACCTGGTTACTCTAGCTAACGTTTCAGCTCAGCCCAGGAGAACACCATTAATGTTTACATCTCGCGCTGTCATAAGCATGAGCCTCTTATTCATGAGTAGATGCACGTTTCCTTCTGCCCAGTGATACAGTTGGTGGGTGTAATCTGGTAGGTAAGTAGGTAGAAAATAGTTCCTACATGAAACTGCTCACAACAAGGTCTGTGGAATATCTTGAGTAACCAGGTCCTTATTTCTGGAAAGTACACATTGCTGTTGAGTTTTTCAAATTATTATTTTTTTTTTTTTCTATTTTAAGCACCACAAGCCCAGTGCCATCTAGTTCCATTATACTGAAAAGACGGCAGACATCTTTTTGGCTGATATCTTCAACACTCTGCAGCTCACGCCAAAACAATCCAGACTAAAAAACAGCACCACAGATAAGAAAAAAATAATAATTTTGATTTTGAGGTGAACTGTCTCTTTAAAAGCATAATTTGGTCATTTCTTGCTTTTATTTTGACGTCTCTTTAACAGCTCTGATCTTCCCCTCTCCTCTCCACCCAGGTGACAGACACAAAGACCCGCCGTGGGGCTCGTAAAGGCAGCACCTCCTCGTCTTCCTCCTCCTCCTCCTCGGCACCCCCGGACCCCCTCAGCTCCATGCTGGATGGGACCGACCCCCTCTCCATGTTTGCAGCAGCCTCGGCAACTGAGGTTCCTGCCATGTCACACAGCACCTCCACAGGGGTCAGTAACACCGCAGACACACCTGTCCATACTGAGACACTTGCTTTTCTAGAAGCTTCACTACTCTGATTTAAAACATTAAAATAACACAGGAAAATTGGAAACATCAGCTATTGAGAGCCTTGTTACACAAGTATTGGTACTAACCTTCAGAAACTAACACTAGTGGAATCCTGCTGAACACGTAAAGAAGTAGAGATACCCAAACTTGTATTTTAAAGACAGATGTTGTGCTTCCAGGACCTGGGGAAGAAGAGGAAGGAGAAAGAAGAAGAGGCAGTGGGACCAGACTTTGAGCCCTGGTCGTCAAAACGAGGAGAGATCCTGGCCCGGTTTACCACCACTGAAAAACTCTCAATTGTGAGTCGTCCTCCATTAGAACCATCCATCTGTTACGATGTGTTCTGGTACTGCTGCACACAGCTATGCCCTGTCACACAGAAGCCTAATTTCAATTTCTTTGTCTTCACAGAATCTCTGCATGGGCTCTGATCGAGGTAAGATCTGTGTCATAATAATTTAATTAATACCTCACTCAAATACGCTCTGATAAATCCACAGTGCACTATCTGCTCAGCCACAAACAGCTGACCAACACAGTTAGCAACTAGGTGCTGAACATCGTTGAGCATTTAACAGGAGTTCTCAGAAGTTGGTGGAGGCCAAACCAGAGCTGAAAGGAGAGTAAATATTTGTCTTGAATATGTTGGGTGTCCAGAAACGTGTGTAAATAGGCAGCTGTGATGTGTAAGCAATATCAACTTTATAAGATGATAATATATTAATGTTGTGTGACAGCCTGTCGTGTCCAAATTGGCAAAAACAATCAATCAATACTGCTTTAAAGGAATACTTTAACCCACAAAATGACTGTTGTTGTATCACTTTCTCACCCTGTGTTAATGCTGATTTTGTGAAGAAACTTTGTTTTCCTTGCATGCCTCCACAGTGAACGAAGAATCCCAAAACTGATGAATTAAAGTCACTGGGGTCCACGGTGAATAACAGCAAAACTATATCAAAACATCTGTTTGCAAACTCTCACACAACTCATACAGCACAATCAAAGTCTCATTTATCCAGTCATATGCTCAGTACCTTTTATAAACAGGGCTTTCCCATCCTCCGTTCTCCAAAAGAATCCCATCCAGACACAATGTTTTAAAAAGTCTCTTTCCAAAGAAACCACAAAAACACTTTGAAGTCCTGTAAAGAATGCACCAAACCCACAAACGGTTATAGAACCCTAACCCTAAAGCCATGCAAAGAAGAAGATGATATTGGCCAATCAGCAGCCTGAAAAAAAGCCATTACCAGAAGGACACCTGGAGCAGTGACCTCTGTAGCACATTCTGACACCTCTGTTTTTCAATACACTCGAAGAGTTACTGTTTATTTATGTGTTTATTTGTAAAGAGTCATGTTAGCAAGGTTAGAACCAGGACTGTTTTGGTCACTTCCACAAGAAGCCAAAAACTCTTGTTTTACCTTTTGACACATCGACACTGAAAATAGAGTACCAATAAATGCAGTTTGCATATGGTCAAAAGGCTAAAATGCATTTATAAAGCGAAGTTTTCAAAAATACTCATGTCTGCGTGGACTAGGTCTGAAAAACTTCGGCATGAGTCTGCTTATGCATTCCTTTGGGCAGAGTTCAGGTGCATGCGTTTGCCCAGGCACACTACTCGTTTGTGGGTGAGACTGTTTATGCACAAGTGTTTGAAATAGTAACGTATGAGCAAAAATGTTGGCGTTTGAGAAGTACTGAACATATGCCTGGATAAATGAGACTGGGATTTTACTGCAACAGTTGTATAAATGGATGATTTGCTGTTGTTAAACGTGGACTCCTTTTACTCCAATTCATCAAGAATTTTCTCAATTTTTGGATTCTTCGTTCACTGTGGAAGCATGCCAGAAAAATAAAGTTTTCCTCACTAATTCAGCATTACATAGGATGAGTAACTGATGGATGAGTACAAATCATCATTTTGTGGCTGAAGTATTCCTTAAAGTAATCTTTAAAAAAAAACTACAGAGTCTGTGTTTTTTTTTACTGTGGTCGATAGTTAACAAATGACTCCTGTTGTCACTGTAGGAAAAGCTCCAAGTCCAGGATCCTCAGCTGTTTCAGAGAAAGTTCGAACTCGCCTGGAGGAACTCGACGATCTGGAGGAGGTACGCTTTCATAGAGTGCCTTTCAAACATAATTTATTTTAAAATCATTTGAACTCCCAGTACTATAAGAATTAAATTGTTCACCAAATGCTCTTTTATTTGTGTTGATGTGTATTCACATAATGTCCACGGCCTCCATTGGTGCTTAAATACGCTGCAAAATTCAGCAACTAAATAGATTTTCATTGGCATTAATGTCATACTAGCAAAGCAGAGTGAATTCATGTAAGAGCAAGGATGTGTTTTGGACTGACTTGTTTGTCTGTGTGTGTGCAGGGTTCCCAGCGAGAGCTGCTCAACCTCTCCCAGCAGGATTACGCTAACCGCATCGAGGAGCTGAACCAGTCCCTGAAGGAAGCCTGGGCCTCAGACCAGAAGGTCAAAGCCCTGAAGATTGTCATCCAGGTAATCCAGCTGCTGAAAACACTCATCCTAAAAATAATGTCTCCTGCGTAAAGACATAAACACTGATCTGTGATCTATGTTCCAGTGCTCGAAGCTTCTGTCTGACACCTCTGTGATCCAGTTCTACCCCAGCAAGTTTGTTCTCATTACTGATATCCTCGACACTTTTGGTGCGTATTGAATCTTTGTTTCTCTCAGCTCAGTTAAAAAACACTGCAGGTTTTCTTACTTTAATCTCTGTAGGACGGCTGGTATACGACAGAATCTGGACCATGTGTTCAGACCCACGACCCCTACCAGGTACTAATCAGACTCTTTTACATCCAGACGTATTTCATTGGATATATTGTCTGGGTAGTGTCTGATTTTTCCACTTGGCTTCCTTCCTACTCAGACTCGTTCACAGTTGACGATGTGAATGACACGGCCAAGGAGACGTGCCTTAACTGGTTCTTCAAGATCGCCTCCATCAGAGAGCTTCTGCCCAGACTGTATCCTTTACTGTCATCAGCAGGGCTTCACAGCTTAAATCAATAATGCTTCTCAGATGATCAGCACTAATGTCAGGCCTGTTTTGACAACTCCTTGACCTCTATGAACAGATACGTTGAGGCTGCCATTCTGAAGTGCAACCGCTTCCTGAACAAGAGGTTAGTTTGATTCTCTTATGGGCTTTAAAAGTCAGTCTTTGCTTTGTTTCTCTTCTAAATCAGAGTTACATTTTTGGGTTATGTGAAAGATTTTGTGATATATTTGTTAAAAAGCAAATCTTATACACACCTGAGGTTCATAGGTGTGTTGGAGAAGACCATGGCCAACTATAGTGGAATGAAGATCTCCCACACGCTGTATTCTACACTTGCAATTATGAGAGATTTATCGGGAGCAACATTTTTGACCTTCATCAGATTGTTTGATGAAGGTCTCTGTACCAAAATGTTCCCACTTAATCTCTCATAATTGCAAGTATAGAGGACAGTGTTCAGAAGTTCTTTGAGATACATTTGTTACAGCTGATCTACCAAATAGAACTTTCTAGTTATAAGGGTTTTTTTTAGACACATAGCACAGCTTCCTTTCTGCTCCTCCACCTTCACAGTGGTATCCCGGAGACACTCCCTCGGTTGACAGCCATGATCAGAGGGATCGGAGACCCTCTGGTGGCAGCATATGCCAGAGCTTACCTCTGCAGGGTGAGATGTGCTCACTTCATTTTCCTCTCCTGTCTCCTGTTTCTGAGCCAGTTCTTATCTGTCGACTCATTTTCACTGCCTGTTCCTGTCCTTATTTTTGCCCTATTAGTGGGGTGGTGATGTATGGAAGCCCATTTCCACCAGTGTATCGAAAAAATAAAGATCTTCTAAGTCATTAAAATGAGAAATTTTCTCCAAATAATGACTTAATATTTCAAAATAATGAGTTAGTATTTCAAAATAATCATTCTGTATCTCAAAATAATGAGAAACTTTCTCAAAATATTGACGTAGTATCTCAAAATAATGAGAACTTTTCACAAAATATTGATTTAGTATCTCAAAATAATGATTTAGTATCTCGAAGTAATGAAAACAATGGGTTAGTTTCTTGAAATAATGACTCAATATCTCAGAATAATGATTTAGTATCTCAAAATATTGATTTGATATCTCAAAATAATGAGAAACTGTCTCAAAACAATGAGTTAATATCTCAAGAAAATGAGAAACTTAAAAGAAGAAACTCATTTCAAGAAAGTCTAATTATAGTGACTCAGGATTTTTTGGCAGAAATGGGCTTGTTTGTTTGTTTGTTTGTTGTTTGTTTCCAGGATGATTTAAAACCTTTTTTGAATAAATCCATAATTTTGTTTGACTCACCTTTAAATGTGATCCAGCTACAGAGTATCATAATGACTGGTTAAAGGGAGAAAAAAGGGTCTGGGCCCAGACATAACAGTGCTCTCTTCTTCCAGGTGGGCGTGGAAGTGGCCCCCCACCTGAAAGACAGCCTGAACCGCAACTTCTTCGACCTGCTGGGCACCTTCCGGCAGATTAGTGGGGAGAGCGTCCAGAACCAGCTGATCATGCAGAGGGTAGAGGTGCCCGAGTACCTAACGCTCTACTCACCCGCCATCAACTGGATCCTGCAGTGCATCGCCTACAGAGCTCCAGAGGCATGTTTTACCTCAACTTACTTAGCATGAATTTTCAAACCGAAACATATTGAATGCTGTAAAAAATGGTCAGCTGTCAGAGGCATGAGTGTTTATAAGACTATTTGTGCTTCCATTTCAGCCTTTACTAACGGAGATGATGGAGAGATGCAAGAAGCTGGGGAACAAGTGAGTGCTTTTAAAGACACTGTTTTAATGAGGTGGACACAGTGTACATAATCAAAGTTTTACACAGCTTTTACTCAAGTGTTTCAATGGTTTCTGGTGGTGGGGGACAAAAAAAGGTTGTTGTTTTTTACCCTAAAGATCCAACATGTTCCTGTTTCCCACAGTGCATTGCTGCTGAATTCAGTTATGAGGGCGTTCAGGCCAGAATTTGTCGCAGCCAGGGCCACTGACTTTATCGGTATGATCAAAGACTGCGACGAGGCCGGCTTCCCAAAGGTTAGAAGAGATCAGATGTAGTACAGTGATCCAATAAATGTAAATATGTAAGGCAATATAAGCTTGAAGGTTCTAGTTAAGAACACTTTATTCTTCTGTTAAAGTATAGGTTAAAACATCGTCTAAATGTGCTTGAAATATCAATGGAAGCTTGACTATTGTCTGTTCTCCAGCATCTGCTGTTTGGATCTCTGGGTCGCAGTCTGGCCTGTGCCGACCCTCCAGAATCTGAGCAACTGACGATCCTGAATGAAGCCTGGAAGGTCGTCACCAAAGTCCGCAGTTCTCAGGTAGTGCGAGAGTAATGCTGCTTCCTCACAGGGGTTTAATCCATGAAAATATTCAGGTTTTGACTGTATGTGTGAATGTTTATGTGTCTTTTTAGGATTACATCAACTGTGCTGAGATCTGGGTGGAGTTCACCTGCCGACACTTCACAGTCAGTAAAGTACCCGACACCTTTTATCATGTGGAGTTAAAAGATCCTATCACTTTATTTAACGTGTCTTCTCTTTCTTATAGAAACGTGAGGTCAACACAGTACTGGCTGACATCATCAAACATATGACCCCTGATCGGGCGTTTGAGGACGCTTATCCTCAGGTTAGCAGCTCATTATACCTAACAGGACAATCTACCCTGTTCTCAGAGTCATTCCTCCTCCTCCTCCTTCCGTCGGCTCTGTACTGACTCTGTTTTGTTTTGCATCCAGCTGCAGTCAGTGATAAGGAAGATCCTCACCTACTTCCACGACTTCTCCGTCCTCTTCTCCATGGTGAGCAACCACCACTTCAAAACATATACAATAGAAGTTTGCACTCTGGAGGCCTGAAACAGTCCACAAAGTTTCCCTAATTGTTTTTTTTTCCCAGGAGCGTTTCCTGCCGTTCCTAGACATGTTCCAGAAGGACAGTGTGAGGGTGGAGGTGTGCAGATCCATCATGGAGGTCTTCATCAAGTAAGAGCTGCCTCAGAGTTTGTTGAATTAGATTTATTTGCTTTGTAACAAAATAAAATTGGCAAGTGTGAAAAAAAATTTTGACTACTAATTATTCTCCATCTGCAGGCACCAGGTGGAGCCCACCAGAGACCCGGTCATCCTTAACGCCATGTTGCACATCTGCAAGACCATGCACGACTCTGTCAAGTAGGCTGTGTGTGTGTGTGTGTGTGTGTGTGTGTGTGTGTGTGTGTGTGTGTGTGTGTGTGTGTGTGTGTGTGTGTGCGTGTGTTATATACCTGTAATTACTTCTACAATTACAATTACTTTAGCTGTTCTCTTATAGGGACTTGGGGAAATAGTTCTTTGTAATTATGTGATTACAGTTTTTCATCTCTATTTTTTTTTTAATTTCAGTAAATGTCAGTGAGTTTAGACACCTACTTTTCTTCTTAGTTTCCTGATCTGCCTGGTAACAGCCTTCACTCAGTAGCCTGTCTGCTCTCTGTATCGCAGCGCTCTCACTCTCGAGGATGAGAAAAGATCTTTGTCTCTGCTGATCATTGGCTTCATCCGCATGGTGAGACTCCTCAGAATTTTTTTCTGCATTTAAGAAATAAGACTGGTGTTATTTTATATTTTCTAATGGTCATTCATTACTCTATCTCTCAGTACTTTCTGAGACATAATTTCTCTCTGGCTCTCAGCACCAAGCCCATTTATTCTTACTGAAGATGTGAATATTTTAAAACGACGTACAAATCCATTTTTTAAAGGGTAAATGATTACTAAAACAGCTTGGCACTGTAGTCTTTAGAAAACATAACTCAGTCAGGGGGAAGTAGTGTGTTTGAGGCAGGGCCATAATCATCAGTGTAACACTAGGGAGACCATTTTCAATGTACGCCCTCTGTGACCTACATGTCTAGGAGGTTCTGGGGGGAACTCCCCACACAAAAACTGAAGAGCTAGGTTTTTGGGGGGGGTCATTTTTTATTTTTTTTTCCATACTATACTATGACTTTATGATTTTTTTATGGCATTTTCTATGACATACTATATAATGACTTTTTTGTGATTTATTTACGGCATTTTTTATAACATACTATACTATGATGTTTTTTTCATGGTGTTTGACCAGATAATGTACTTTAACATTGTTCATGAAAATTGTGATGAAATACTGTACTATGATGTTTTTCATGATTTTTGACAACAAAGTATGATATGACTTTTTTGCATGATTTTTGACAACATACTATACTATGACGTTTTTTCATGATTTTTGACAACATGCTATACTATGACTTTTTTTCTGTAGTCATTTTTAATTTTTCCAAACCGACCTGAGTGCCTGGACTTTGGTTCTTTCTATACTATACTATGACTTCATACTATACTATGACTTTTTTTTCCATGACTTTTGACGACATACTATACTATGACTTTTTTTTATGATTTTTGATGACATACTATACTATGACTTTTTTTTATGATTTTTGACGACATGCTATACTATGACTTTTTTTCATGATTTTTGATGACATACTATACTATGACGTTTTTCCATGATTTTTGACGACATGCTATACTATGACTTTTTCATGATTTTGGACGACATACCATACTATGACGTTTTTTCATGATTTTGACTATGACTTTTTTTATGATTTTTGATGACATACTATACTATGGCGTTTCAAGATTTTTTCCATTATACTATACTATGACATTTTGTCATGATTTTGAGGACATACTATACTATGACCTTTTTTTCATGATTTTGGACGACATACTATTCTATGACTTTTTTTTCATAATTTTGGACAACATACTATGCTATGACTTTTTTTCATGATTTTGGACGACATACTATTCTATGACTTTTTTTCATAATTTTGGACAACATACTATGCTATGACTTTTTTCATGATTGTGGACGACATATTATACTATGACTTTTTTTCATGATTTTTGACGACATGCTATACTATTACTTTTTTCATGATTCTTGACGACATACTATACTATGACGTTTTTCCATGATTTTTGACGACATGCTATACTATGACTTTTTCATGATTTTGGACGACATACCATACTATGACGTTTTTTCATGATTTTGACTATGACTTTTTTTATGATTTTTGATGACATACTATACTATGGCGATTTAAGATTTTTTCCATTATACTATACTATGACATTTTGTCATGATTTTGAGGACATACTATACTATGACCTTTTTTCAGGATTTTTGACAACATACTATGCTATGACTTTTTTTCATGATTTTGGACGACGTACTATTCTATGACTTTTTTTCATAATTTTGGACAACATACTATGCTATGACTTTTTTTCATGATTTTGGACGACATACTATACTATGACTTTTTTTCATGATTTTCGATGACATACTATACTATGACATTTTGTCATGATTTTGACGACATACTATACTATGACGGTTTTTAATGAGTTTTTATGACATATTAAACTATGACTTTTTAAGGCATTTCTTAACGACATACTATACTATGACTTTTTTTAATGGCATTTCTTATGACATACTATGCTATGGCCTTTTATTGCATTTTTTATGACATACATACAAAAAACATCACTCAGTGCACATTGTTGATGTGTTTTTAATATATTTTTGACAACAATGGAGCTCTTTGGTATGGCACAGCAGAGTAAATTATACAAATTCAAATTCTTTTTGAACTTTACAGTTTTAAAAAAAGTTGTGATTTTAGACCAATGCATCCTTTAATCTTTATTTTCCCATCTTTAAGTAAGTATTGTTTAGCAAAAGTACTCTTGTCTTGTTACACTCATATATTCTGTTTGTCCATCGGTGTGTACAGGTTTCTTTTGGTCGGGACTTCGAGCAGCAGTTGAGCTTCTGTGTGGAGGCCAGAGCCACCTTCTGTAACCTGGAGTCAGTGATGGTGCAGCTCATTCATGTCAGTACACATCTTTGTTTGAATGTTCAATTTGTGTGTGATATCCACACACACACACACACACACACACACACACACACACCATCCTCACTGTCCACCTTGTCATTTCCAGACGGTGAACCAGCTGGCGATGGAGACCAGCAGGGTGATGAGAGGAAATCACTCACGCAAAACAGCGGCCTTTGTCAGGGTGAGTCAACACAAGCAGCATCTGATCACTGCAGGCCACTGTTCCTTCTTACAGAATGAGATCTCAGCATTTCCTGAGAAACACTGAGCCCAGCGTCGGCTTCAAATGTCAGATGCTTATTTAAACTTATCCCCCTCTCTCCCCCAGGCGTGTGCTGCCTACAGTTTTATCACCATCCCGTCTCTCAGCAGCATCTTCAGTCGTCTCAGCCTCTATCTGCTGTCTGGTCAGGTTGCGTTAGCAAACCAGTGTCTCTCCCAGGGTGAGCAGCTGTTTACTTTCACAGTTTAAACGAGGAGTAAAAATGCAGGTCATTATTTTGTGTGTAAAATCTGAGGTAATGATTCATTTCGCTTTGTATCAGCAATTCCTAACATTATTTATCTGCCTCTGACTTTTCCCTTCTCTCCTTTTGTCCCAATCATTTACTTATTTCCCATCCTTCCTCCCTCTTTTCCCCCTCCATCCTTTCTGCACCTCCAGCGGATGCTTTCCTAAAGGCAGCAGTCAGTCTTCTTCCAGAGGTTCCTCGCTCCATCAGCGTGGAGGGAAAACTTCGCTCTTCTGAGAGCTTCCTGCTGGACTTTATCAACAACTTCCTGGCTACACTACTAGTTGTCCCGGTAAGACAATCCTCTCCAGAAACAGAAAGAAGAGATATATCGCCCAAAACTGAAACATTTTAGCTTTTCCTCATTTTTCTCTTCAGACAGCTCAATTAAAACTGAGAGAAGTGCCAAACCATCAGGCTTGTCTCCCTAAACTCCCAATATGTATGTGTGAATATTCTTGCAGGACCATCCAGAGCATGGCGTGCTCTACCTTGTCCGCGGTCTACTCAACATGGTACAAGATTACACCTGGGAGGAAAACAGCGACGCCAAGGTGCGGGTCTACATCAGCGCTCTGCCCCTGCTGGCTGCCATGGGCCAAGAAACCTACCTCTACTCCATCCCTAAAGGTAAAAATATCAATGATATTGATATCAATGATCACTTATATTTAGATCTCAAAAAAACAGTAATTTTTATGTTATCTTTCTCCTCTTTCGTGGTCTCAGTGGACTCCAACGAGACACTTTATGGAGGAGACCCCAAGTTTCTATCAGAGATCAACAAGCTGTGTGAAACTCTGATCGGACAGATCCTGGACCACCTGAAGGCACTCAGTCGGGATGAGGTGAGGCAAAAACGGCTCACTGCCACCAAAAAGACCACAGCGCTTCTTCTCCTCTCGTGCATCTTTTAAAATGTTTTCCTCAGAAGCTAATTTCTAGCTAGTAACTAAAACACTGCTTTCTTCTCGCCCTCTTGCAGCAGAGCACACGGCGTCAAGGCGCTTTGGCCTTTTCCCTGTTTGGCGTCCTGCTCGCTCACGGTGACCTGAGGAACAACAAGCTGAGCCAGCTGGCTGTCAACCTGTGGAACCTCAGCCACAAACACGGATACTGTGAGACTCGAGTTTCGGTGAGGGAGACATTTTACACTTCTCTCAAGCAGCTGCACCCAGACTTATTTAAATTGATGCTCTACTCGTCAATTTCAGCAAACGTGCTTTGTGTGAACGCAGCCTGTCTCTTCTCTCTGCTCCAGGTTCGGACTCTGGAGTACATCAAACACCAGGCTCAGCAGGCTGACATGAGCCACCTGTTGGATACAGTCCAGAGGCTGCAACTGCAGTCCCGCACCTGAACGTAAACCTCAACATCATCTGTAAAATGTCTGTGCACTAAGTTTCTGTGAAGCACAAAGAAAAAGAAAAAAAGGCCTGAATGTATTTTGTGTGAGGACACTTTATGAAGATTTAACTTTACATTTTGGCACTAAATATTTACAGTTAGTTTGGACCAGCAGGAAAGACCCAAAATTGATACTTTAAGACTGAACTGAAAGCTGTTTGTGTGCCAAAATTCCATTCAATGTACAATAGCATGTCATTAAACTATCGTAGTACATTAACCTGCGCTGAAACCTTCAAGGAAACTCTGTGAGGTTTTGTTTGTTGCTCCTGTTCAGTGTCACAATCTGGGGGTACGTAAAATAAACTATGCGACAAAACTGTTAAATGAATGAACAAATTATTCAAAGTTTACAAAGGAAGTGAAATGACATTCCTCTGCATGTTTTCCTGTCTTCTGTTAAGTCACAAGCTGCTGACTTCTCTACAAAAAGAACACTGCAAACAAGCCAATATGCATCAGATCTGCTGCAAAGATTAGGCCTAATTTTTCTGTTGAACTAAAATGGCTTCAAATTCTGAAAAATGTGCCACAGTCCAAAAAATAATTTTAAGCAGTGATACATCTGTCAGAACTGTATTTTTGCTGTCATTTGCACCGGTTACTGCAGTGTTCCCCTGCATATCAAACAAAGTTAGTTATCTTTGACTGAACTTACACCACAACTGCTCTCTGTATTGCAACATTATGTATTTTTAATGTGTCTTCTTCATGCATTTGTAGAAATAAACAATCATTCTGCTTTATATTTAAATACCGGTCTTAAGTATGAGTTGATTTCTAACCTGTTGATTAAAGTACAATGCAAATGTATTACATGTCTTGCTTATTAAACATCTTGTCATCTGAATAGTAATTCAATCAATCAATCAATTTTATTTATAAAGCCCAATATCACAAATCACAATTTGCCTCACAGGGCTTTACAGCATACGACATCCCTCTGTCCTTAAGACCCTCACAGCGGATAAGGAAAAACTCCCCAAAAAAAAACCCCTTTAACGGGGAAAAAAAAACGGTAGAAACCTCAGGAAGAGCAGCTGAGGAGGGATCCCTCTTCCAGGACGGACAGACGTGCAATAGATGTCGTACAGAACAGATCAGCATAATAAATTAACAGTAATCCATATGACACAATGAGACAGAGAGAGAGAGAGAGAGAGAGAGATGCAGGTAATGACAGTAGCTTACAACAACATTATTGAAAGTAATAATATTATAGTTATAGTTCTGGCTACTGTGGTACAATATGTTGAAAGTATGTATTAATATCTGGCAGTATACATGTGTGACAATAGTCATATGTGTATAATAACAGTAGAAGTATGACTAATGACTAATGATGGCAGCAGCAGCAGGAGGCATCTGGCAGGACCACGGCAGCAGCACAACCACACACGTCACGCTGTCCAGGCACCGCTGCGATATGAGTTAATCTGAGAGACAGTGGAGCACAAAGGCTCCGGAGAAGAAGCCGAGTTAGTGACATCCAGAATGGCCGAGTTAGCAAGATGCAGTAATAGGATGAGAGTGAGAGAGAGAGAGAGAGAGAGAGAGAGAGAGAGAGAGAGGGAGAGAGAGGGAGCCCGGTGTATTATAGGGGGTCCTCCGGCAGACTAGGCCTAAGTCAGCCTAACTAGGGGCTGGTACAGGGCAAGCCTGAGCCAGCCCTAACTATAAGCTTTATCAAAGAGGAAAGTCTTAAGTCTAGTCTTAAATGTGGAGACGGTGTCTGCCTCCCGGACCGTAACAGGAAGATGATTCCACAGGAGAGGAGCCTGATAGCTGAAGGCTCTGGCTCCTGATCTACTTTTGGAGACTTTAGGGACCACGAGTAACCCTGCGTTCTCAGAGCGCAGTGTTCTGGTGGGATAATATGGCACTATGAGCTCTCTAAGATATGACGGAGCTTGACCATTTAGAGCTTTATAAGTTAACAGTAGGATTTTAAATTCAATTCTGGATTTTACAGGGAGCCAGTGCAGAGAAGCTAAAACAGGAGAAATATGATCTCGTTTCTTAGTTCCTGTTAGTACACGTGCTGCTGCATTCTGAATTAGCTGGAGAGTTTTTAAGGACTTACTAGAGCTACCTGATAATAGAGAGTTACAGTAATCCAGCCTTGAGGTAACAAAAGCGTGGACCAATTTTTCTGCATCTTTTCGGGTCAGGATAGGCCTAATTTTCGCAATATTACGCAGATGAAAAAATGCAGTCCGTGAGGTTTGCTTTAAATGAGAATTAAAAGACAAATCTTGATCAAATATTACTCCGAGGTTTCTTACGGTAGTGCTAGAGGCCAGAGCAATGCCATCTAGAGAAACTATGTCATCAGATAAAGAGTCTCTGAGTTGTTTGGGGCCAAGAACAATAACTTCAGTTTTGTCTGAATTTAACATCAGGAAATTGGTGCTCATCCAATTTTTTATGTCTTTAAGGCAGTTATGGAGTTTAGTTAATTGATTACTTTCTTCTGGCTTCATCGATAAATACAACTGTGTATCATCCGCATAACAATGGAAATTTATAGAGTGATTTCTAATGATGTTACCTAAAGGAAGCATATATAGAGTAAATAGGATTGGTCCGAGCACAGAACCTTGCGGAACTCCAAAACAAACTTTGGTACGTAAGGATGATTCATTACGAACGTCAACAAATTGAAAACGATCAGATAAATAAGATTTAAACCAGCTTAGTGCAGAACCTTTTAGGCCAATTAAGTGATCCAGTCTCTGCAGTAGAATTTGATGGTCAATTGTGTCAAACGCCGCACTAAGATCTAATAAAACAAGAACAGAGACGAGTCCTTTGTCTGAAGCAATCAGAATCAATAGAGAAGGCCAAGATTCCATTGGCTTCATAACATAGTGATTTCCATCATGCACTGGGACAGTTTGCAGCCGAGTGTGAAGCGGTCCAAATCTGAGGCCATGGTTCTCTGCCGGAAATCGGTGGATAGCCCCCTCTGGGTTGGGAGGGAGTGAGAGAGTTCAAGTATCTCTAGGTCTTGTTCACGAGGGTTAGGGTGAGATGGATTGGCAGTTGGTGTGGCTTCTGCTGTGATGCGGGTGCAGCGCTGGACCGTTGTGCTGAAGAGCGATTTACTGGTCCATCTACGTCCCAACCCTCACCTATGGTCATGAACTCGTGAACTGGGTAGTCGCTACAAGCGACTGAAATGAGTTTCCTCCGTGGGGTGGCTGGGCTCAGCCTTAGAGATAGGGTAAGGAGCTCAGACATCTGGAGGGAGCTCGGAGTAGAGCTGCTGCTCCTTCACGTCGAAAGGGGTCAGTTGAGGTGGTTCGGGCATCTGATCATCTTCCGGGCACGTCCCACTGGTAGGAGGCCCCGGGGCAGACCCAGAACACGCTGGAAGGATTATATATCTCATCTGGCCTGGGAACGCTTTGGGGTCCCCCAGGAGGAGCAATTTGGCAATTTGGGTTTTCTATCCTCGCACCACATGCAGCAACTTTGTTCATACCCTCAATAAAAAGCGATAAAAAAGTGGACAGGACAATGTTTGTTTCAAGACATTCTCAAACTCTTCTCAGTTGTAGTTTATTTACTTGATTAGTGAATCATCTGAAAGGCAAACACTCCTCTTTAGTTCTGAAAGGAAAAATAATAAAAAACAAAAGCGTGATGACACTGACAAAGGGCCTTTGGTCACACCTTTTTCACTGCCAATAATGAAAGGAGAAGTCCAACAAAACTGACTTTCAGGTTGGCAAAAAAGAAGTTATGACACTGAATAATAAAAGGTGCGTGATATGAGTAGCAGAGCATGTTGCATGAAATGTGAACTGTTGAGGAACCTAAAAGTCAGTTTTGCCTGGATTTCCCTTCAGACCTCAGTGATGTAGCGGAGGGACCAGCAGGAGGAGCCGACACCAGAAATGAACACAATACTGTTAAAGCTGAGTTATTTAAACATTTGTTTGTAGTTTCTTATTTTTCAGTCTCTGATGAACGCTGCTGTTAACCCTTCCACTGCCACACCACTGGTTTCTTTCTCTGTATCGTCGACACCAACATTAGATAGATGTAATCACAGCAGAGCATGTTTACATTCACAACCCGACACAATTCTATCTGTCCTTGTGTCGCACTACGACATTGAGCCAGCCGGTCCCGTACGGTGTGCCAAAATGGCCAACATTAAAGTTTATGAAACAAGTAATCATGAAAATAAATGTTTAAAAGGGACCCAACTAACCTGTGATGTTTTAATTAATTTATTAAATTACCTAACTTTCATGGAATTATTTTATCCTTCTTAAATTATTCATTAATATAAATAAACCTAAAATGATATTCCCTGAAAATCTGTTGCGTTTTACCAGTCTTTAAATATTTTACTCCACTGATTCATACAATTATTGTCATTTTGTATTTAGTATTGACCATTTTGGTGTTCCATAGTCCCACACAGATAATTACATAGAAGTAAATAAACATTCCTCTACATTGGAAGACCTCTGGACTTTTCTAGTAACCTAGCATTAAATTAAAATTTGTCTTCACATGGGGGGGTATGACCTCTTTTAAGATTATCTGGAGCACAGTTAGGACTTTTTTTTTTTTTTTTTTTTTTAAATCCTAAAACTGACCAGACCTAGACCGATCGAATGTCACTACGAGGACAAAAAGAAGATCGAAAGATGAGAACAAAGAGTTGAGAGGAACAAGCAGTGTATTCTCTGAGGACTGATAACACTGATAAACAGTAGCTATTGTTGAAATCACGCTTCTGAGTGAGCACTGGCCGAACTGATGTTGGACTGCCACTTAAAAAAGGGAATATAAGGAAAAGGAAGGACTGAGCCAGGCACGGTCAAGTAACCAGCTGCTTTAGCTATTAGCCTTTTGGAACATGAAAAGCAAAATTCACTCCAACAGAAAGGTTTTCACAGTGTCTCATTTTGCTCCTCTAATAAAGATCACTTAACAGACTTGGACGGTAACCCAAGCTTAGACTTTTTATGTTTCACAGCAACATGTAGACCAGCACCCAGAGCCAACAATCAGCCAAACACACACTCTAAGTGCTTCAAACACCTCATCACCTGACTGTTTTAATGACCTGGCAGCTGTTAAAAATGCCAAAATTAGACTTTTCCTCACAATTCCTCTCGAAGATGCAAACAGCAGTTCAGCGAGTGCACAGTGAAAAGCGGGACCTCGACAATGGAGCTACTTGTATACAGACAACTGTGTGTTTGCAGTAACTTAAATAGAAATGACCCGTGGAGGAGACACTGAGCAGAAAGGGTTCGTGTGGTTGATATTCAAAGTGTAAGATGACCTCTGATAATAACTTACAAAGAGCTCTGTTGTCTTTTTGTCCATATTGCTAAAGGACAAACAGATGAGAACATGACAGATGGCATTAACTACATTTCATTATCTACTGAAAGCCGAGTTTTAACAGAGAAAGCTGCTGAAAAATGCAAACAGCAACACCGTGGCTCTGATGGAGCTCTGTGTAACTGGCAAAGCAAACAGTTGAGTAATTGTAGTGAGCTGTGTAAACCCTCTTATAATGATGTCATCAGCGACATCATGAAGAGGGTTTGCACTTGTGAAACTATCCTCTCCACTGAGGACAGTTTGTTTAACATCATACACCCTAAACAGAGAGAGAGAGTCCCACACTAACAAAAAATAATGATTAAAATAAAATAATATAATAATCTAACAATATTTCAACTCGGGAAGAGTTTGCAGTTTGGCGCAGTCAGTCCCGGCAGTGCTGAGAGGGATGTTTTTGGCGGCCTGATACTTGCTTGGATTTTAAGACTGAATGGGTGGAAAGGGGTTTTTTGGAAACAGCACGCCTCTGGAAACATGGACCGGCACCTCGCCCCGCCCTCGTTGTGGAGGTGAAGGAGGGAGGCTGCGTGGTCTTCCTCTTTTTTTTTTGTGTGTGTGTTCGTTTGTTCTCTTTGTCCTGGGGCAGGCTCAGTCCAGCTCTATGGGGCTGCTGTCCTCCTGGGCTTCCTCGGCTCCGTCGTCCTCCTCGCCCGAACCCATCAGGCTGTTCAGCAGGTTTCCTGCAGGGTGCAACACAGCAATTAATATTCTGTGTAGAGATGTCTTTTTCAAAAGGTGTTTGAATGTTCTTTGTAGCTATTTAACAGAATAGTTAGGACACTTTGGGAAATACACTTTCTCAATTTCTTGCAGAGAGTTAGGTGAGAAAACTGATATCACTCTCACGGCTGTACGGAAATATACAGCTGGAGCCAGTTAGCTAGACTGGATTTATTCAAAAGGTAACAAAAATGCCTACCAGCACCTCTTAAGCTCACTACACCTACACTGCTGTAATGGAAATGTATACTCTTATTTACTGCTTGTATTATTCTACTGTTCATTTATTATATGTCATATATTTATAAAATATGTTTAAGTGAGATCTGTGTTTCAACTCCTAAGTGTGCAGGTCAGCTCTCAGGCCAGTTTGACTTTTGGTGTGCAGAAATCTTAGAGAAGCTCTTATCTTGTCCCCATCACACAAATTAGAAAACTCTGGAGAAAAGCTAAGACAGACAAGCGTCGTCTTTATGAGAGTGTGTGTTGTTGAAACAGAGAGGATCTCTGTTAAAACAGCTTTCACTTTTTTTCTGTCACTGCTGGGAGGCAAATCTGTCGATGAAGGTTTGAGTACAACATTATTTGGCAGTTTTTGGTCATGTTAAGTTGTGAGCTTTGTATGTAATAAAACTTTTATAAAACTGCTTTTAGGAATTCACCTGACAATAAGACTACAGGGAGCCACTGCACTCAGTCTAAAAGACTGAATCACAAGGTTATTTAAGATAACTTCAGGGTAGAAAACCCTCGCGTAATGTTCATTAAAATCAAATTGTGCTGAGCAAATGCTGCCTCAATTGGTTTATGTATTTAATTAGCCGTATGTCGTCTCAGATCATACAAGGAACAAGACCTAACATTAAACTCAGTGACACAATCACAGGTGATCAGGGAACTTCTGTGTAAACAATCCTTAACATCAGCTCAAATAAACAAAGTGTTTGTTCACTCACCTAGCAGCCCACCGTATGATGGAGACTGTTTGGGTGGAACACCAAAGAAAAGCTGTCCTATTCTGTCGAGATACTGAAGAGCAAGAAGATATCACAGAGAAGAGGTAGAGGAGGACAGAGAGACAGGGTTGTGAATAAGACACGTTACAAAATTACAGCCAAAATATGTTTACATGAACTGAAATTAGGGGTGTGACGTCATGGCCTAGACTAGCTCTATATGAAAAATGTCTTGAGATAACTTGGACTGAGATAACGGTTATGATTTGGCACTTCATACATAAAACTGACTTGACTTTCATAACTTTTCCAGGAATTTCATAACTTTGGGAACCCTGATAATACATATGGTATACACATGGTGCGTTGCAGCTGCTGTTACATTACTGAAGGCCATTTCATACATGATTCATGGGAAGAAATACCTGAGCACTAACACTCACCTCATTATACATGGGGTCCCTCTTCAGGGAAGGTTGATATTGCTCACATAACACTGTGAAAACTGTTAATTTACCCCTGAAGAAATAAAGAGAAGAAACATTCTTTGAGTGGTGTACATTATTATCCTAAATCTATTTTTCTAACACAAATATTTAACTGCTGTGAAGCACTCCAGGAACAAGCTCAGCAGTAGTTCAGATAATGTTATACTTAGGCTCACAACATGGAGAGGTAGTCTGTAGTTGCTGCATAAAATTCGTCATAATCAAATGAGATTAATGCTGCAGTAGGAGATCAGCTAATGCTAGCTTAATTAGCTTATTACGCGCTCAGGACTGCTGAAGGAGTCTGTGCAGATATACAACAGAGTGAGACATTATATATAAGACATATGTGGCAGGTCTTAATGAAGTCAGTATATATATCTAGTGTTAAAGTGTTATCACAACTCACCCATCCACTGCCAGCAGCAGAAACCAGATAAAGTTAAGTAGAGGCTGGACGAAGGGAGGGCCCTTCTCTATGGACGGGTGTTTCTCTGTGTATGTGCTGAACACCACGGAAGCGCTGTTTTTGTTCTTTAAGCAGAGGAACCTGGAGGGTGGAGGTTCAGAGAGGGAAAGGACAGAAATAGATAAAGGACGAGGGATAAAAACAGAAGGAGAAGATGGGAGAGAAAGTGTGACACAGATAAGAGAGTGAGAGACGGTAGACCAGAAACACAGAGAGATCAAAGGCACTTTAAAGAAACTGCTGACAGACAGAAAATGGATCTGACTGCAGGACAAACATGCAGGAGGAGGATGCATCAATACCGCTTTCTCCACTGCAAAGCTACACCTTAAATCTAACAAACAGGTCAGCTTACACTTACTGACATTACAGACTACAGCTGCACTAGAATTTTTTTTAACTAAACATGGAAAGTCATTTCTGCTTTTATATTGCATGACATCAAAAACAAATATTTTCACTTACTGTAGGACGGCCTGCGCCACAAACATGTCGACCTCGCTGCGGAAGCCTCGTGACGCTGAATACTCCACCAGCATCTGTGCACAGCCCTCCCCGTCAGACGAATGCAGGAAGTGGTAACGAGACTCACTGTAGTTTTGCTCTGAATACACAGAAATATAAAAATATATATATATATTTTAAACAGTTAAATAGGCATTTCACTCCTTGAAAGACAGTCCCTTCTTCAAACTGGGCTGTCTATGCAGTGAAAAGACACAAATACTTTTGAAATTGGTGCTACATGACCAAAGAAAACGCTGTGACATCGGCTTTTGCTTAAGAGCTACCAAACTACACCAACTAACTGAATCTCTGCGCAGAAGGAAGCATGCATCTACTGCTAGTTCAACTTGCACCACTCAGCTAGCTCAGCCAAGGTCAGCTGAGGAGAACACCATTAATGTTTACATCTCACGCTGTCACAAGCACGAGCCTCTCATCCATGAGTAGATGCACACTTCCTTCTGCACTATCATGCAGTTGGCAGGTGTAGTTCAGTAGCAAGAAAATAGTTCCTACATGAAACTGCTCACAACAAAGACTGTGGATTATCTTGAGGAACTGCATCATGATTTCTGGAAAGAGACATTGTTTTTCGAATTTATTTTGTTGGCGCTTTGAGCACCGCAAGCCGAGTGCCATCTAATTCCATTACAGTGGAGAGAAGGCAGACATCTCTATGGCTGATACCTCCAACACTCGGCAACTCACACCAAAACAATCTAGATTGATAAACTGCACTACAGATAAGAGGAAAAATACGTATTTTTGATTTGGGGGGTGAACTGTCCCTCCAATTTTTATACAGGGACAGGGCAGCTTGCACATTAGGAACAGTATCAAGGGGAACACACACCCTTAGCACACACTGAATATGGCCTACAGACAGAAGAGTCAAAGTATGGAAGCTGGAATGTGCCAATTTTGGGAATAAAACAAGTGTTTTCAGGTGACAATGCTGAGAAAGAGGACAGTGGCCGATCATGATGAGGGTCAGCGTGCATCCTAAAGCTACTGGTGTGTGAGCTTACAAAAAGTTGTGGGTGATTTGATGCACTCCATACCCTACCATTGTGTGTTGGATTTGTTGGCTTGTTTATGTTTATGTATGTGACTGAAATAGATATTTGGATAATTGAAGAAATTATGTGAGAGACTCAAATACTTTCAGTTTATTACCAAACATTTGCTTTTTCCAGCCTCTTAATCTGTTTCATCAATAAATCCAGTATTTATTGTGACCTGTGTTACACATTTGTTACTATCCTCCACACTTTATAAACTAAATGATTAACTGATTACCTTTCCACAAGGTGACAGCTAGCAGCTGATGTAGTTTTGGGTGGCCCAACTTGCCGGACCCTCCTGTGGACCACTTCAAGGCTCTGGACACAAATGCTACTCTCTCTGGAGAGTTCGGGTCCATCGGGCTGAACAGCTTAGCCAGGCATTCTGTTCAACAAACACACACACAACCCCAACAAAAATCAGAGAATGTCCTTTCTACGCCCCTCCTTGTGAAAGGCGAACTTCTCTAAATGACACGACGATGTAATGCTGCAGCATTTACAAGTGATTAGAGATGCCCCAAACAGAGTCGGGAGATCAGCAAAGTAGTAGTATCAGTAAAGGTCAATCAATAATGGAGGTGTACTGGCTATATATGTAAAGCACAATCCATCACCCACTGTACTCTGGGTATGCCAGCTGTTAAATATGCCTCACTGCATTAAAGACTAGTACTTATTAATCAGGACATACTGTAAATATATATGTTATAATGTTCATGTGTACTCTTTATACATTTCAACTTTGGCTCTTTTTGCAGTGGTTACATTGTTCTTGTAAAGCCTGATTCGCCTCCACAAAAAGCTAAATCTATTGGCTTTTACTTTGCTCACCGACAATGAAATGATCAACTTTAAAAGTTGAAATTTAAAGTGGGCTATAGTTGTGTTTTGAAGCCGTGTTAATCTTGCTGTGAAAAGTGCTGTCTGTTGGTTTAACAATTAGTGCAGTAACAATATGAGGACATATTTCTAGGAGTGTAATGATCTATCAGTCTTGATTAATATATCAGTTCAATGATACAATACTATCAATGCAAAGTGAAAACATCAATCCATATCATCTTTAGGATACTCCTTTATTTTGAAATTCTGTGTTACTGCCAAACAGCACCAGGCAGATAATGGCAGCAGCCAAGAAAAAGATGAAGAGGATGACATTATTTATTCTGGAATAAATCAGCAGTGTGGAAATATTTTGGATTTCAGTACAAACAGAGGTCAACAGACAACGCATTTGTCATGTAAACAATGCCATTACGAGATAAAACACAATGTACCTGCTTGACCAGGCAACTCACTCTGCTAACTTCTTATTACAGCAACATTAACTGTTCCGTTTCAACAATGTTTGGCTGAAAACAAACAAAAAAAAAAAAAAACGTGCATGCAGGCCAAAATTCAACTGTGCTGTTCTTTTGGGAGACACAGTGACTGAAACCAATGGTGAGTAAGAAAGAGTATAAATAATACATGTCATTTGTTATGTAAAAGTGGAGAAAGTCTGCTAGCTGCGAGGCTAATTTATGCAATGTTAAAGTGCTGAAGCTCATTATTGCTGACCAGCAAAAAAAAAAATTATTTAGCCTATGAACCTTGAAAGTTATTACTGTGCTACGGCCAAAAGCAAAACAGAAAGGAGTAGCTGCTTCTTCTGTAACTGGCTGTGTTAAATGGGCAGATGATATCATCTCATTGGTCGAACACCCCTGAATTGCATGGTATTGAAATCATGTCATGGCAGAATTTGTGATATCAGCAAATACTGAATCACTGTCCAAAGAATCAATATAATATCGCATCATGATGAAACCAGTGATTTACAGCCCTACAAATTCCCCAAAGCAGTTGATGTAAATATGACTCTCTTTCACACAAAAAAAAAAGACAGTAGACATGAAAGCACAGCATATCTGGAAACTATCTATTCTCACCTTATTACAAATGTACAGTTTAGTGAAGGTACTCTTTCACAGACTGAAGGCTGCCACTTACCTAATATTTCATCATCAACTTTTGCCTCAGATTTCTCCAACACCTCCAGTACCAGCATGGACAGGTCTGCTGCACTGTTTTGCTGGAGATGAAAACACAATAAAGTGTATATTTTATTCCATATTTTTAAAGGAATTAGGTGTTTTACATGAGCAACTTGGGGGCTGGGAGGATAAGCTTAATTAAGCAATCTATCTACCTTAGATTAGGGCTGGAAACCTGATAATCTGTGTGCAGCAATAGTGCAGCTACTCTGAAAACAAGTTCATATACTAATGATGTAATACTTGGGAATAGTCTTGGTCTCGAGACCCCTTTTTCTAAAGTCTCTGAGGACTCAAGATTTTATTTCAAGACTGGACAGGGCATCAGTCATTTGTTTTTATGGAAATGTGGATCTTCCAGATCAGTTTGAGGATAACTACGGTTTGCATGTCTAGATTTTATCACAAGTGTGTCATGCTGTGCTTGCACTGGGCTGGTCTTGGTCCTGTCACGGTCTCGATACACTCTGGTCTTGGTCTCAGTTTAAGTGGTCTAAACTACAAAACTGTTATGTACAATGTGAAGAGTGAAAGTTTCATTCTTACATACACCGTGTCACTTGTGAATAACAAGTTTATAGACACTACTCTGGTATTACAATCATACTAAAGTAGACAAACACAGTCGCCCAACAAAGCTACTTTGGAACATGACATTTTAATTTCTCTGTCGAGGGTGTTTCCATGAACATGTGTACACCTGACATTTAACACTTGGTGTGGGATACACCAGATCAGCTACTCCGGCAGAAATCTAGTGTAGGACGTACCTGATTATAACTGAAGAAGAGTAGAGCGCCATTGTACATCAGCTCCCTGGCCTCAGCATGTTTTGCCTGTGCCATGTACCTGATGGAGGACAGGAGCCCCAGCGTTACACATGAAGTATTATCCCTTATCGGGACAGACATGAGGTTTGTTTGCGTCACTCAAGACTATTCCCACACAGGACTGCAAGATAAGATATGTGCACGCTGGATTTGCTTGAGGTACAAAACAAGGTATCATTGTGAGTATTGCAATGTGTATAACAACTTTCCTGAAGACCACAGAGCAGCTGCAACTTTTTTTATTTTTTCCATCTTGTTTTTATGAGGATTTTATTGCAAACATGACTGTTAGTCATGAGAAATAGCAAGACAATGACAAAGAGGCAGGAGGATAATAAACCCACTCTGCAATGAAGGAGGACTGGCTTTCACTGGTCTGAATTCAGAACAAATCACCTTCTTTGGTTAACTATGCTCCAGGCAGAACCAGTTTAGCAGCACTTCTAATCTATTCTTTACCCAAAACAGCATCCAGTTTTCTCTTGGTATGCAATCACTGATAGGTGTGTGAATGTTCTTTAATGAAACAGACAGACACTAGAAAAGAGACCATAAATGATAACTGCCTTATCCTAGATTCGGCAATTTTGACTACAGACCATGTAAGCATAACCAGCTGCAAATCTAGATTAAATAAATATACGTGACAGTGGGCAATTACATGTCTAACGTTAGTCATAGATAACGTTAGCTAGCTCAGACTGCAGCGTTGCAGTATGTTGCTATCTGGCTAAATGCTAACACAGCTGGACAGCTTCAACAGATGTTTAGGAAACAACAACAAAGCAGTTAGCCGCTACAATCTGTTAATTCGCACTTTAAGTGTTTTTCCATTAACGTTTAAACACTGTCTTGCATCAATGACCCAGCTAATTCTGCTTCGGCTATCACTGGTCGTGTTGCTGAACACGTAGCTAGCTAACTAGCCGTAGTTAGCAGTCCCATTTTGTGTTTGTTGAAGATTGACGGCGCGGCTGTCCACACGAACAGCCGGACCAACATGAGTGGGCGGGTCCGTGGTGGAATTCACCCAATCACAAACGGACAGGCATAGAAGCAAGGTTGACAGTGGAATGATCTGGAACAGGTAGGCCCCAAAACCAAATGACAATTACAACTGCATCTAGTAACATGAAACGGAGCCTTACCTAAAAAATAAAGTCCTGTACATCTGATGTGCTTCATAGTAATCCCCTTTTTCTACACTGGCTCGCAGTTTTCCTTCCACCCGTTGTACGCCTCCACGGTTTCTGGCACTGGAGCACCTCAGAGACTCCTGCTCAGACATCGTCGTTGCTCCGCAGCAGCGCTCGAGCCAAGTGTTGACAGTGGGAGACCGGAAAGCTTTAAATAAAACAGACCCTCCCCGCTTGCCGTAGCCGGCGTGTTGTGGTTATGGGTTGGGAGATAGTGGCAACACAATTTATGAAACTTGACCAGCTAAGCACCATAAAGGCAGCATGGTCATAGTAAGGTTAGAGGAAATAAGACTTTGTGGTTAGTGAAGTGGTCATGATCACATGGTTTCGTGAGGTTTGTCTGAGTAGACTCCCTCGAGCCAAGTATTATTTATTCCCTACTGTCAGGGACGACCCTAGACTTTTGGGGGCCCAAAGGATTTGGTTTTGGGGACCCTTTTAATGTAACATGTTGTCATTTAACATGGCACTGAACCAGCTTGCATCTTGCAAATATTGTGCAAATAGAACAAGCATGTAAAGACTAAAGTGGGATCTCATAATTGCAACACTATGTTTAAACAGTAGGTACACAGTAAATTCAGTGTTTTCTCCGTTACCACCTAAAGATATTGCTGGTCCTTTTCAGCGTAGTCTACGCTTATACTGCCCAATGATCCAGCATATCGTCTACTGTCAAATTTAAGCACATTACCTGTAAAGTATAGAAAACATTTTATTTTATACATTTTAAAATATAAAATACTATTTATACTATCTCAGCAAGCATTTTATATATTCTTGATAATATGAGAGATTAGTGAAAAATATTTTATTATTAGTTTAAGAAGATAGAGTTGCAACAAAATAATTGATGTAGTTTACAGTTTACCTTAAAATATTCCGTAAAAACTAAACTGAAATTATCTCTCATTTCTTTAGTTTGTAGACAACAACAGTAACTCAGAATGAGATTCAGATTCTGTATACAATATAAATAGTACAATAAAATAAAATCTACCAAAAATTACACATTTAAACAGCTCCCAAATACACAAAATGCCCCCTGGGATTTATTCATATAAATCAACAGGTGATTTCCTTCTTTTTTAGCAAAAATCCTGAATGATTGAGTTGGGATTTTTTTTTCACCTGGACCTTTATGCTCTGCCATTTATCCTCTAAAAATCACACTGTAACCTCTGACAGGCTGTTATGCTACAATGGCTATTGCACATTCACATATATGTAGTTTTTTGTTGAGCCAAACATCATGTATGTTTAAATTACCAAAGGTTTATGACAAAATCCTTTGACGACACCAGCTCCCTTTCTCTCCCTTTGTGCCGCTGCCAGAGGAGCCGCTGAATGAGTTCCCTCTAAGCTGTAATTTGCTAAAAGAGTCTGAGAAGTCCAGAGCTGTTCATAAAACATTGAGGACGCCACAGTTTATATTTCACATTACTGAAGCTGTTCTTCTTTTTGGAACCACAGCGGAGTCGGTAATAGTTTCGCTTTTAGCCATGCTTGTTGTTGCTGTGGATATGACGTCATTATATGAACAAGTCAGAACAACTTAACAAATTATCAGTGTAATTAAAGAAATTTGTTTTTGTGACATGCTGATGTTGTAACCACATTTTAGCTAGTTAAAAAAAGAGGGTGAAAAGAGGTCTTAGACGTTCAGGCCCAGTATCAACTAGTTTTCAACTAGTGTTGAAATCCGGTTTGGCGCTCAGTGGGATGGCCAGGCTGAACACTTGATGGTTATTATTTACTGACAGATGTGCATAGAAACTATTTTTATTCTCAGCTAATCAATATTTTAAATTCAATACTCAATGTTAATCCATTGCTTTCCTTCTTGCATTAATTCAGAGCTTTAACTAAACTTTGACTTAGAGAGTAGATAGTCATTGTATTATTGTAAAATTATGTGTGTGTGTAACATTGACACCTGAGTGAGCGTAGGGCTGCCCGGCTCTGCTTGTGGGACAGGGTTAGGGGTTATGGTTAGTGCTATTAGGGGCCTCTGGTGGCTTATGTGTTAGGCCAGCTCTACCTATTATTCATGATAGGGGAAAGAGAACACTATTAAATGTGTCACTTTATGTCCTCAAAAATCGCGTTTTACTGAAAAATAACACAAGTACTGTGCCTCTGCTGTAAGAGACAGTGTGTCAATAGAAAACAACCAGTAAATAAATCTGTTCCATAAATCTGTGTTCTTTATACAGCAGCGGGGGGAAGCTGACCTAAGGCATCAAATGTGCTAACACTGATATATAAGCTGCCATGTCTAGACATGGCATGAAAGTTATCTACCTTATTCCTAGCCCCCATGATACCTTCCATGAATTACTGTTCATGGCACTGTTCCAATGGTAACAGTGCCATGAATGGTACACTAATCCTCTTTCCTAATGTGACTGGAAAATAAAAAATGGAAAACACCACCTGTTCATCTCAGATGAGAAAATGTGATCATACCTCTGCCATCTCTGACAGCCATCTCAAAGCATTGGTCGTTTGCCTTTTTAACCAAGCGCGTTAGCAATTAGCTTGCCTTCCAAAAGAGAATTTCTGATTTCTTAAAACTCATAAACAGACACTAACACATTCGGGAAACATAATTCTGTATTAATTTAAGCTCATGTAAAGTGAATACACGTAATGTTTACCAGCTAATGTTAATGTAGCTAATGCTAAAGGAACTGCCATTGGTGGTTAGCCAACAAGATTAGCCACTGGGTCTAACCATAGAAAGCCAGTGCATACTACTCCTTCCACTATCTCCCCAGGAGTTGCACCCATAACCATTGCTACAGATGCACCCTCAGAAATAAGGTGAATGGAGTGCCCCAGGAATGAGTCCTAAAACCCAGAAATAAATTAGTATTTTATCACGCATGGTTCCCTCGTCTCAAATTCAATGATTTTTTTTAAACAGATTTTTTGGTTAGATACCCTGTTTTTTTTAAAGATTTTTTGGGGGGCTTTTTAGCCTTTAATGTATAGGACAGACAAGTGTGAAGGGGGAGAGAGAGAGAGGGAGTGACATGCAGCAAGGGGCCACAGGCCGGGGTCGAGCCCGGGCCGCTGCGGCAACAGCCTTGTACATGGGGCGCCTGCTCTACCACTAAGTCACCAGCGCCTCTGGTTAGATACCTGAAACAAGGTCTGTGGTTCACACAAGCTTAAGAGACTTTCACGTTTTGTTCAACGACATAATATTCATCAGTAAATGCTCCACTCATGAACTATGAAGCTTCTAGGTGTCTTTTAAAAGACGGTTGCTAACAAGTCATCATACTGTGCCGCACTAAAGACAGCTTTACAGGCTTGTTATGGTGTTGATGTTAAGTGACCGTAGCGTAGTTCATTTTTAGCCTAACGTTAGCTTTTTACATGTGGCAGTTGCATTTAGGATTCAATAATCATTAAAGTGGTGACCATTTGTGAAGATTATCTTGTTGAAAACACGTAAGCATCATAAACGTTTGTTTGCCACAAAGCTTATTTTAGGTAATAATCCAAAATCCAATGAAAAAATCCCATAGGCTATTTGATGAGGGAACCAGTGTGATGCTAACTTACGTGTCGGCCTACAGAAAAACGTCCTTTCTGGGGCACTCTATTGGTGACGTAACTAATCTAGCTAGCCCAACGTAGGTTCGAACCTCAGATTTTAGGGAAGTGCACAGACATCGCCCCCTTAGTAGAAGAATGTGAGAACACCTCATTAGTAACAAACTTCCAGACATTTTAGGGGACATAAATACTTTAACAATGTGATACCTTATTTTGAAAAACTTTCGAAGGTTGAGATGGCCTTTTGCTAAAATATCCACTTAAACTATATAACTTGAGTTAAAACACAAGCATCCATTTCCCCTGACTGAGTGTCTTTGCCCTAAACACTGGATACCAGCTCCATAAAGGTCAGTTAACAACAGTGCCAATGCATCATGTAAGTCCAGTGGATGTCAGCAGATGGTGCTGTGGTGAAACCTAAATCACTTCACTAGGTAGTATTTAGAGTTTACAGTGATCCAGGCTGTGCATCTCCCTGTCATCCTGAGTCTTCATGTTGGTTAGACACAGTAATTCAGTCCCCTTTCTCCACCCTCTTCCTCTCAGTCTGGCACTTCTTCAGGCAGTCCTCACACAGGGAGCTCTCCTTGACCAGGTAAAGCTGCTCCGTTATCATGAGTGACTTGTGGCCCGGTGCCTTCTCAGTGAGGATGGGGTTCCTGTCCAGGTTGACCTTCTCCAGCTGATTCAGCCTCGCAAGGCAGCCAGGGACACGGGTGAATCGGTTGTCAGAAAGGCCGAGGTGGCGGAGCTCCTTCAGAGCGCCGATGGAGGGGGGGAGAGTTTCTAGCTGGTTGAGACCCAGGTTGAGGGTGTGGAGTTTCTTCAGCAGGCCAAGCTCACTGGGGAGGCTCGTCAGACGGTTGTTACACAGGTTCAAAACCAGCAGGTTCTGGAGACGGCCGATAGTCTCGGGGAGCTGCTCCAGCTGCAATAAAAACATTGACACATTCTGTGATACACAGCATAATGCCAAACACCAATTTACGATTTCAATACTAACTATCCAAGGCCAATTGGAGGTGACTCCGATTACATTGTAGGGGTTATTTTCTTAGACCTAGGTCCCCCAGAGCCACAGAGTATATAAAACAGCTGTTTTGTGTCACCAACAAAGGCAAACAGTCAAATAAACCAAAATTATTCTAATAGTTTTCTGTCATACTCACATAGTTGCTGTGCAGATCCAAAACCTGGATGCGGATGAAATATTCAATAAAGTCGGGGACCTTTCTGATCAGGTTCCTGCTCAGGTCCAGTTCATCCACATCATACAGCTTCTGGATGCACTTTGGCACCACATCGACCTCCTTAAAACTGAGATTCAGACGACGTTTACCTTCCAGCGTCAGCTCCAGGCAGTTCTGAGCCACTTTCAGGGTGATGGTTTTACTTTTAGCCTGTTTGTTTTTCTTTCCTTTGGCCATCCTGCTGCAGGGAGACACGGGACAGTGACAGGTCTGTAGTTAACAGGGTTCAGTAATGCGCTGTGACGGAGGAGTTGACAGTGGAACCGGTTTGCAAGATTATGTTACCCAACACAGTCCAGCCAACTGAAACAGTAGACAAAGTCCAGTTTTACCTCTTCTTGAATATCCACAACATCATCACCGTTGTTCCATGACAAAGCAAATTAACTAAGACTATGTAGGAGTTTTGTTCTGGTTTATTTACAATTTGTGATCAGTGTTTATAGAAAAAGAAGCCTTCAAAAACAGAAAAACAGAGTGTTCAAGAATAAAGTCAGTGGTTGGGTGCTTTAAACACATTTCTAATGACACAAATAATTTCATGATCAAGAAACTTTTTAATATCTTACCAGCTTTAATGAGCCTGTCTTCTTAGATCCAGCACAACGAATACCAGGAAAGAGACAAAAGGGACTTCAAACCCATACTGCAACATCAGTGTCACCTAATTTCTTGATCCCTTACTTGAGCCTGAGAATCACACTCTACATCAAGATGTAAGTTATGAATAAATCCAGTCAGACTGTATTTAAACGAGGTGAGAGCAGACAAGTTGTGCGGTAGCTGTTTGTCATACTGACTCACTTCACCAGACACAGAATCTGTTTTCATTAGTTCCCAGGCAACTTCTTTGCTCTCAGGAGACTTTATAGCTGTGAGCAGCTACAGCAGGACACTTTGTTCTTTGGGTGAATGTATTTGGAGGAAATTTTGACAGATTACAGTGACTGTTTGTAGGATTATTCTGTTGGTGCTCACTGATCTATCACGTAGGCCTGCTACGTGTCTAAGAAAAGCTGGGGGACTGATCTGCTGATCATATAGGATTTTGATTTTAAGTGGACAATTCCAGCAGTCCAAAAAACTAAAAGAGGAAAAGTATGCAGTGGATTTTGTACCCTGCTCATGTATTTATTTTTTCTTTTACCTCTTCCAAACCTCGTCGTAAAAACACACAATTACAGTTCCACTGCAACAATATGTGTATTCACACCTCCATGGGAGTCAACCTACACATTACTTTACATTGACTTTTTTCAGTCACTGTATACTCGCTATTACAGAAATACTGTTGACATTCTAGTGGCTCATCTACAGTTTGTTTTACACTGCATATTTATGTAATTTTTGTATGTAAAGATTTAAAAAAAAATTGCTGCAGCCTATTTAGAGATTTCCCTTCATAAACTGGTCCTATATATCCTGCTTGTTGGAAATACACTAGGGTTGTCAGCATTAATGCGTTATTTAAAAAAGTTCAAATTATAAAGCACATTTCTTTGCATCTCTGGTAAGAATTGCTTCACTTTGTTAATGTGGATGCAATGCAATTAAAACTTAACTATTGAAATCAGCAGTTGTGATTAAGAAAAAATTAAATGTTTGACAGCCCTAAAATAAACATATTGGAAGAAAACCTCTGATAATCAAACAGGCCAAAATAAGAAAAATGATAAATCCAAGGCACTCTTCAAAAATATATAAAAAGCTTTAATCACAGCGCTAGTTCATTATGGAACAATAAAAACAGGCTTAAAATCAGCCAACATGTTTTGACCAACACACAGGCCATTTCTAGTTTTATATCTGAAATTACAGCAATGTTTGATTTTTTTTTCTCTCATAATTGATCCCAGAAGTCAAGAACAATTTAAATCTGATTTAAATGTTTGTTTATGGTGATTTTTTTTTTTTTTTTTAAAAAGCTAAATAAATGATTTGAAAACATAAAATTCAGTTTTAAGAAGATACAAATCTTTTTTGACAATAAAAAATACAACAAAGTTATTATTATCATTAAAAATAATTGTAAAAAAAAAAAAATAATACAAATAAAGTTAAGGCTGCAAGCACTGATGAACCTACCTGCATGGGATACAGGCCAGTTGTCAGTTGACACTGTGCACAGGAGTTATTTCCCGTGTGGAGTGTGTGATGTTGGAAATTACTTATTACAAAACTTTTGTACTACTTACTGTGCCCATCAGGTGGCGCTAGAGAACATGCACTAAACGTCCTATGTTGTGTATAAAGTTTCAACCACATAACCTCATGTAAATCGAATTATGTTGTGAATTATGTACTAATTTTTGACATGTACATATCCTCAGGCCTGAACTCTTATAAAGCATGAGAAATTTGGGGCAAATAAGGAAATGTACAGTAAAGTTACAACAACTTCCTGTGTCATTGTGAAACATGCAAAATGGCAATCAAGCCCTGGCAATGTCTGTCCACCAAAACCCACAATATTCACAAGAACGCATCATCAACACCTTAAAGTTTTTCTGATCACATTTGAGGTGGATCATCAGAGTATAAAACATGTCATTTCCTGTTGCCAGTAGGTCATGCTATGTCTATAACTCAATAGCAGCATGAAAATGTGTTCAGGTTAGGATTCTTACGTAATATGAGAATTCTAGGCAGATTGGATCATGTACACTCAAGTTACAACAACTTATGGCCAAACGCATAACACGGTTGCCATGCCAAGGCAACATCGTTGCATGAAAACAAAAGCTTTTAACAACTATTCATCTTTTAACAACTTTTCAGAACATGATATCTATCTCACGTCTGTCTGTCCTGGAGGAGGGATCCCTCCTCAGTTGCTCTTCCTGAGGTTTCTAACATTGTTTCCCTGTTAAATGGTTTTTTGGGGAGTTTTTCCTTATCCACTGTGAGGGTCCAAGGACAGAGAGATGTTGTATGCTGTAAAGTCCTCTGAGGCAAATTGTGATTTGTGATACTGGGCTTTGAATTGGCCTTGAATTGAACTGAAATTGTTAAGGTCTTCAGATTGCCCAGACCAAATTTGATCAGGTTAAATCTTTAGGAGGAGTTTGTAAGAGTTCGGTGTCTGTAAATAGCCAAAAATGCTATAAAACTGCACAGAAAATTAATGTCTTACTTTCTGTTGAATTCCGGGTATGGCTGGAGAAGATACATCTGGATACCAGATTTCATTCATCTTCATCAAATTTGAATGTGGGGGCTTTTCGTTGAAAACTCTTATGGGACACTGTTAAGCCATTCTGCCACACCTGAGCATGAGACCCATAAAACATCAAAATTTTAGTACTGATATGTGTGCCAAGTTTTGCACCCTCACCTTTAGCCCCTCAGAAATGCAGTTAATCTGAGAGAATAATGATACTTCCTTCAGTGTCAGTTGGGCCTTCGCAACAGTCAGTGCTCGGGCCCTAAATATAAGTATAAAGTATACAGTACTGACCTGCTTAACACTGCTGTGTTTGTAAATAGTTTCCAGTCTGACCCCTTTACCAGGCTTTAATATGATACAGCATTCACATGCTGCATGAATCTCGCCCTCTCTTTCTGTCACACACACCCACAGACTTGTGTCAGCAGTAAGTTTGATGTATCACATACTGTAGTCGCACTTCAGACATTACTCAGTTGTCTAAATTTAGCCTAATGCACTTCATATGACACACTTTCACTTGAATGAATATTAGACAGTACCTCCTATATGCCAGTAGGTGGTACTGTGTTTATACACATCACAGTATAATGACAGCATACATTGAAATCAGTACAGTTTCTGGCAAAAAACCCTAAGGTGCTGCAAGGTGTCATGTCACATCTCTGCAATTAAGTTTCTTAGTTTTGTTTATAAAGCCATTTTGTGAATAATAGTAAGCAGATGAATTTTGATGTTTGCGATATAAAACAGTGCTTAAAAAGTCATGTGACCAGGCCCTTTTTGGCTTACCATGAATCAGGTTCATGATGTCAAGATCAACACACACAGACATGAACACTAACAAAGAACTGAAAGAGGATCTTGGGATGCACAATTTTGTTTACACATAGAAAAGGTGGCAAAAGTTAAAAAAAAAAACAAAAAAAAAACAACAGCTGATTAATAAGATATATTACAGACCATTGTCACCACCACCTTTGCACCTATGATGAACTAGTATGTGTGGTCCAAAGGTCATGGACATGATTGACTGACACTGTGACATGTCACAGAGTGGTAAAAGCACATACTAAAATAATTCACACTAGCTGGGTGTTCATGTTTACAGATTTAGCATGTCACAGTCCCTATTTTCCATGTTGCATGGCAGAGGCTCTCGGCTGAATGAAACCAGGTCAGCCCACATAGTGTGTTTTTGTTATTTTTTATAGTGGAGCTACAAAATAGCATCACAAAACTCTGCATGGCACTAAAGTTTGCTTATACTGCAAATTCTAAAAGTGAAAGCAATACCTGATTAATTGGAAATCCTAACCATGTTTCTCATCAAAGTTTTGGTCTACCATGTTATTCAAACCTGGTTATTATATGTAAGTCTGCATGCAGCAACCTAAAATCAGGTCACTTACGATACCGCATCAAGGCGGGAATATCATGTGCATGTAAACACACACTTGAAACATGGTAATAAATATAATCATCCCACAGAAAGGAGAAAATCTGCATGGGTTAGAGGTTAGATTCCAATGTGTCTGTCAAAGAAAAAGCAGCCATGGTATGGTAGACTGTGGAAAACGTAGCCACTAAATGCCATATGTTTTGTAATGTTAAACTACAGACAAAACCCAAAGCCATTTACTTCCTCTCTTTTTTTAACCAGACCTGCCCATTTCTTGCTGTGGGATTTTTTTGTTCTTTTTTTTTTTTTAATTTATTTTCAATTCCCCTAAAACAGCAGGCAACAGTATAATATGGTCTATAAGCCTGAGTCATTTCCCGCAGCAGTGTGAAATACAGGTCAGGATATATGCAGGTCACACTGGAGGAAATGGTGCTGACCTAATTGCGTGAGGTACTGCACGCAGCAGTTCAGATTACGTCTAATGATAAGAAATGTGAGCAGTGTGTGTGTGTGTGTGTGTGTGTGTGTGTGTGTGCGTGCATCTAAGCCTTCTTGAGCATGACAGAGGCCCAGAGAAAGGCAAAGAAATAAAGAGAAAGAAAGAAGAGACCTCAGTCTTATTTAGAAAACAAAAACATTCAACATTTGACTAATCCACTGCCATGTAATATATTAACTAGCATTTTAATCATGTGTACTAGCAGATAGCACAGCCAGTTAGCTATTTTTAGCTACTGTGGCTAACAAACTGAACAACAAATGCTAGTTGCTAGGGTTAGCTTTAGTGGCTAACAAGCTAGAAAAAACAGATGCTAGTTAGTTGGCCAGCTGCTGTAGCTAACACACTAAACAACACATGCTAGTTAGCTATAATTAGCTACTGTGTCTAACAAACTAAACAACACATGCTAGTTTGCTATGGTTAGTTTCTATGACCAACAGGCTAAACAACACATGCTAGTTTGCTATGGTTAGCTACTGAGACTAACAAACTGAACAACAAATGCTAGTTAGCTATGTTTAGCCACTGTGGCTAACAAACCAAACCACAGATGCTATTTAGACACAGTTAGCTACA